GGGGGAAGGGGGCCAGTGAACAAGCAGATGTGTGGTGCTTAGTTGCCACCTGGGGTTAAACTGTGACAGGGGGACAGGCTACTACCATTTCAGTTACAATAAACAAGATACAGGCTTTTTTTGCATCCTCAGAAGTAATGCTGAGTGTAGCCCCTGAAACCAAATCAGCTTCTCTAGCTGTTGGAAGAAGGCAGCTGTTCACTGTTGATTATAGAACAATGTTTGTGAGGAGAGCGCAGGTGTCATGGGGAGGAGGAATCTGATGTGGGGAGTCCTGGGAGTATAATCATAGTAAAGGGCACGGGGGTACATGTAGAGAAACCTAGAGGAAACAGATGAAGAGATGTCTGTGGAAGAGTTAAATGCAGACAATGAGGCATAAGGAATCAATCTGTCGTCTGGGAGAGTTGGCTGATATCTCACTTTTCATCATGTCCTCCTCAGGTTATAAAGCCTCCAACCAGAGTCACTTTGTGTTCACAGAACCCAATCAACATTTGCATAAATGACTTTGTAACAACAAATGCAAACTCCCCATTGAAAGAGCCCGGTGTCTTCTGGGGATAATGCATGAAGCACACAGCTCAGTCCCTTGTCTCCAGAAGAGATACTGTTTTTCTTGCTCCCTGTGACAGCATGGTATTAGTGGTTTTCACTCCCCTTTAACCTGGGACATGGGGAAGAGGACAGGTCTGTCAAGGAGGGCTACTACAACTTAATGCTGCAGGAGGGCAACAGCCTTTAGCATCTGACCATTGTCAACATGCTCTGCAATTTTGCTGTCAGGTGCCTCCTAAGCATGTCTACCGTGTGCTACAGTGCCAGGAAGAGGAGCTCACTCAGATGGTTTCCACTATGTCAGATGGATGGCGCTTTGAGCAGGTATGGAGAAGGTAAACGGGAGTGGGAAGGAGTTGTCTTTTGGGGAAAAGATCACAGATACCATACAGTCCCCAGGCAAAGCACTTTCCCTTTCTGAGAGTACTGGGTCAGTCATTGATAGTGCTGTCACACTCTCTTGCCCTTTCTCTGGAGGTTTAGGGGATACTGTGTGAGATTAAGTTGTTTTGCATCCTGGCTGGCTCCTCTCCCGGTTCTCTGTGCTGTCTCCTCAGCTCAGTTATGAGGCCTTCCTACTGGGGGTATGGATTGGACTCCATGCTACATGGTGGGCTTTCTGCCTTGCTTCTAGGTGGAGTGGATGTTTGCAGTAACATGCGCTTGTGATTCTTTCTCTCATCTTTTCTAGCTTGTGAACATTGGCTCATCCTATAACTATGGAAATGAGGATCAGACAGAGTTCCTGTGTGTGGTCTCCAAAGAGCTGTACAACTCCCACAGTGGCCTGAACTATGAGCCCAGCCACAAAGCCAAGGTGAGACCAATTTTGCTATGGTCCTGCTCCCATTGCTTATGAGATCTTTCACTCTTGTTTGCTTCCTCTTTCTTTTCTTTCTTCACTGGGACTGTGGGGCACCTCAGTGGTGGAATACAGGGGCTTGTCCTGGTGTTTAGCACCATGGAATTACACCCATTGCCCAAAAGGAGGGGTGCGTGTGTTGAGAGTGGTGGTGTGCAGCTGTGTGTGGCAGATGTCTTTAGCAAGTGGCCCTGGCACTTCTCACGCTACTCTAACATACCCACCATGTCTCCTTATGGCCATGATGTATGTGTTGCTTTGCCTCTAGGGTGTGATTTCTCTGAAGGTTTTGCAGTGTTCTCTTTCCTTTTACTGAGTCCCAACCTAAGGGGCTGGAGATCACCTGCTCCACTTCTGAAGGAAGGACAGAAATGTGTGGCACTACATCCTGTAGTCCTAGATACAGGAAGGAGCACTAGTGACTGATGGCAATTGTTGGACGGTGGGATCATAGCACCTGCAAGTGGGTTAGATAGCTCTGACATGATGCTCCAGAGGAAGACAGGTCTCTTTGCTCCCTGACCCAGAGCTGTCTTGGCCATGGGGAAAGATCCCTTTTTATTCCAATGTTGTGACCATTGCTTTATTCCCTTGTGTGTCAGAAAGAGTTGCCATGTCTCATCTTGCAAGTATCTCCATTCTTTCTTCCCTTTGTCCTGCATGATGGGCCACAGAGTACAGAGGAGGACCTGGAGGAGGAAGAGCAGGAGGTGGAGGAGAAGGCAGAGGCAGAAGCAGAAGCACAGGAGAAAGATGCAGCAAATCCTTGAGGAAAATTATAAAAATAACCCCTCAAGCATAGACCCGTCCACCTTTCTGGTGAGAGCTCACAGCTAGCAGCAGGGAAGGACTAGGGCAGGTGTGGGGTGTGGGGGGAAGTCCACTCCCAGGAGCAGGAGTCTCACAAGTTAAAGCTGACAGGGGAGAGCTGTTACTGTGGCTGCTGCTTTGTATTTTAAACTGTTTGGTTTATTTAGGGTTATATTTTTATTTGAAGACTGTCCATCTATTTGGGATTGCACTAAAATCTTTCTTCCTCCGGACCCTCCCTCCTGCTCCCCTCCATGTCCGTCCCAGCACTGCCACCTACCTCCCACCCTGCCCCACTCCCCAGCCTCCAGCATCCTTCCCTCTTCTGTCTTTGCCTCCCAGAGCTCAGAGTCATCCCTGCCCGGGACCCTGTCTGTCTCTGCTCCTCACTTTTCCTCCTCTGCAGGTGTGTTACCTGTCTGCACTCTCAGCTCCTGCCAGCCTGAGCTCTGCATGAGTGACTCAATTCCCTCTTGTGGGTATGGCCCTGGTTTGTAGAGCATGGGGAGGGGAAGGAGGGAGGGGAGGTTCACTCATCCCTAAGGTGTTTTTGTTGGATTCTCATCCCATGTGTGCCTTTACCTGCCAAGCAGGCCCTATGGCTCCAGACCAGAGGCTCTGGCAGCATAAAGGAGAGCAGAAAGGAGAAAAGAGGAGTGGAAATGAGTGCAAAGCAGGCAGGGGCGGCATGGGGAAAGGGGGAAAGTCTACCACATGTCTGCCTGACACACATGCCGGAATGCTTCTCCAGACTGCTGTCCGCAGCTCTTTTGCTGGCCAGCCTGAGAATAATTTTGCAGAAGGCAGCCTGTTATTTTCCCCTCCTGCTCTCACTTCCCTGGGCTTTTCTCCACCACCCCTGTCAGGGTGAGAGCACGGTGAGAGATGGTGGTGAAAGCAGAGTGGAAGCAGCCAGTTCCTGCTCCACATGTTCTTGCAGCTGTGTGCAAATAAGTCTCTGTGCTCTGCCTCCTGCTCAGGGAGCCTGTCTGGCCAGCATGCATGGGGCTGGGTACAGAAAACTTTGGAAGGAGGATTCCTCTCTCAAACTGAAAAATTGTGGGGCTCTTGTTAAACCAGAGCTGCTCAGTGCCACTCTGTCCTGTTGGAGGGCATTTGTTAGCTGGCTGACATTTTTCTCCACCTCTGTTCAAGAGCCTCCTGACATGGCTGTGAGACCTAAGTGTTACTCTCTTAAAAGTCAGTGTGTGTTAATCACATGGACTTTTCCTTCCTTTGTCTCTGATCTCTCACCCTCGCTCCTCATCTCTTTTCCTTTTTCTTCTGTTCTCATTTCCTCTGTAATTTCTCTTTTCCTGTTTCTCACTCTCCCCTCCATGTTCAGTCACTTTTTTTTCCCTGCTGTTGATTTTGTTTCTCTCTTTCTCTTCTTCTCTAGCTGTTACAAACCAGAGGTCTGAGGATGTGATACCAACACTCCACTCCAGCCTTTTCATTTCTTGTTTATATCTTTATTTTTGTACTGCAGTGAAAAGCAGCCCCTTACCCCGCAGTGACACCCTCTAGCCCCCCTCACTCTTGACCATCAGCCATTCTTTTTTACAAACTCACCTCAGAGGCCTGAGCCTCCAGCCCTGGAGGAGGGCAGATGCTTCTTGGAGCCCCTGGGCTGGAGCCCACGTTCCCCTTCTCCGCCCAGCAGGCTGGCTTTCCTAATGTCACAGTGCCCCCTGCTGGGGACGTCCGTGCAACTGCAATCTGCGGTCCCTTTCTGAACACCCAGGACGCGGCCGGGGCCCCGACATGGTGGCAGCCGTGGAAGGACCAGTGCTCGCCCTTTTGCTGTTGCAGGAGATGGTCTGGGCTTGTGACCAGAGGGCAAATGCAGAGCCACTACACTTTTCTGGGCAACCTACACTGCTCGTGGGGTGTCCCTGTGCTGGGTATCACTCTCCTTGCTTGCTTCTCTCCCTGTCCCCCAAAGCAGTCCTGTGTTGGCAAGGTGAGGAGGAGACAGGCATGCTGCTGGGGTACCAGGAACACACCAGGAGGTCCTTGTCTTGGGGAGAGAGGTGTTTGCTTCACTGCTGTGTCTGAGGACACAAGGTTGTAACTCCTGAATAAAATTCACAGTCTGTTCCTCCTTGCCGCCTCTCATTTCAAGTGGGAGAAATTTGATGCTGGTAGAAAGGGGTGGAAGGAAAGGGGAGAGTAGTTTAGATTCATCACCTGGAATCACCAGAAGCTGCTTGTGCTATGCTTCTCTTCTGTGGGCTGGTGGTACTTTCCACTGCAGGCAGCTGGGCTACAGAGCAGGTTTGCTTATTGGTATCTGCACCCCTAAATCATAACAGTAAGTGAGGATCACCTATCTAGCTAGCGTACTGTCCCCACTGCACCTGGGAGACAGCTGAGGGGGGTGGGGTGGGTGGAATTTTTGCCAGTTGCCAGTGCCAGGGTTGGTGTTTGGTTAAAAAGATACAACCCCCAAGATGATTTTTAACAGAGTAAGGCAAACTAGAGCCAAAAAACTGCTCAATTGTGTTGCTAATTCCAGAGTGACCCACAGTATATATACACACATGCACACACACATATGTATGTATCTCTTTAGTGAAAAAAACCCAAACCTATAGCAGTCACTGTTTAAGCACCGTGCCCTGAAGCCTTCTCCTTCACCTTCTGGACTATCTGAGTTAGGAGATGGAAGCAGTTGAGACACCTTTGTGTTAAAGGTACTTCGAAGGGCTGAGAGAAGAGGATGAGAGGCTGCTCCAGTGTTTTTACTGAGGGCCAGGGCCTTTCCCTGTGGAAAGTACAGCAGTGGAGGCTGGGTGCTGCCCCAGCAGGGAGGCAGGATGCGTGCTTGGGGGTGTGATGCTGGACTTGTGCCTGGGAATCAGTGAGATGTGAAGAGTTGCCTGGCTGAGCTGAACAGCACTGCTGAACGGCATATGCCTGCTAAGAAAAGAAGCAATTAGGGAGATGGAAGAGGAGTGATGGGGGGGGAAGGGGGAAGAAGGACAATCAGCAGGAAGGAAGAGGGAGGCAGATTGATTTCACAGTTACTGGAATCTCTAACTACATCAGTCACATTTTCTTTCAGCAAGTGTTCCAGCATAAGATTGCGGATGAATCACATGGTTCATGGAAAAGTTCAAGTCCCCTTATTTCTTTTCTCAGAAACCATCAACTTGGAACCATTTCTGTGTGTCATGTCGTCGTCGTCCCACCCAACTCTTTTGGATGGATGGTCTAAAAACACCTTGGGATGCTCCCTGAGAAGCACTGAGGGGGAAGAGGGTCTGCCTGCTTTTGTCTAAAATCCCCATGACAGGCTTTTTTTACCCTACTCAGAAGAGCATCCTCAGTCTGACAACATCCCACACAGGAACTCTCTTTCTCTGAGAGGCAAGTGAGCAAGATCAGGAATGAGTGTCATGCAAGTGTAGGTCTGATGGGGAGAAGGCAGAGATGCACTTTTCTCAGCTCATGGTTTGGTTCATCCACCCCAGCACCTGAGTGATCCTGGTGTATACTCCATAGTGGTTTGGATGTGAGCATCCCATTCCCCAGCTGACCAAACCAGCCAGAAACCACCTGCCACTGCGTTCCTTGCAGGCCAGCGGACCTCCAGAATCACCCTAGAGAAAGGGAAAGAAAAATGGGGTGATGGTGATCCACCAGCTTCTCCTGCTGGATGATTACACTGGCTTTGAGTCTCTCTGTATACATATTCCTGTATCTCTTAAACTAATGCCTGGGACATCTGCAACGTTCCTTGTACCTTAGGCAGATGTCAAAAACAGTCTCCAGTGCAAACATCTGTGCAAGTATTGTTACATTCCTTCATCATGCAAATTCCTCCCCCTTAGCCAGGTCCCAAGAAGCTGACAGCTCTATTGTTTCCCTCAACTCCATGTGGCAATTCCAAATATGAGGAAAACAAGAAAGCTGGTGGAATTTCACTGGATACCTGGAGGGATGGGAGTCAGAGGAATTCCCTGAAATTGATAGTAATGAAGGAACAAACAGGTTAGTGTGTGTGACAGATGCTAAAGAGGCTGAGGGGGTAAGAGACTGTTGTAGATATGTGACTTGAAAGTGTGAGGTAAAGAGTGGAGAATAGGCTGAAATGAGAAAATGAGAAGTTTAAGTGTATTTGGATCCTGCCTAAGGTAAAGATGCTGGGAAGAAGTGGTCCTGAGGTCTGTGTTGGTCACTTAGATCAGAGGAAGTGTTGGGGGAGTCAGGCATATTATAGTCTTTTCACCCTCATTTCAGACTATGGAGTGCATTTGGGATACTTGGGACATGCCCCACCTCCAGTAGTCAACCCTGATCACACAACTCCTCTGTCACCTGGCAGGCATCTTTCTTGCCCTTGTGGTAGCCAGCACACAGCATCCTGGGAGAAACCATGTAGTGATAGGCCTCGCTGCAGATGTCCTGCTGGATGAGCTGCACGTCCACCTTCTGCAGAACATTGCTGATGTGCCCTGAGGGGTAGAACACCGAAAGTAGTGCAGGTGAGCAATGGTGGAGCTTCCTACCATTTACCATGATCCCCCAGTCCATGCCCATTTCACTGCATGCTGAAAGATGCCATCTGAATTTCAAGTCTGCTCTCTGCTGGCATCACAGTCTCTGATTTTCAGCAGAGCACTTCACCTGCATGGAAGGAGTAACATTCCCCTTCAGTTCCTTTCCCTACAGGGATATGTTGTGGGCACTTCAGCTTTTGGGACAAGGGGAATTTTGCTTTGGAGAAATCTCTGGGATGTTGTAGTTTTGGGTTTGCTTCTCATTGAAATGGATGTTAAGCTTTTCCAGCTGAGTATGCAGATCAGGATTGTCCAGTTCTGGATAGACCACTGAGTGTTTCCATTCAGGAAGCAGCTGGAGCAAGTGTGTGCATGAGTAAAGGCACTAAGCTGTCCTGGGTGAGCACATCTCTTTTCCTGTGCCATGCACTGCTAGAGAACAGCTTGGACCTCTGTTTCGCTCACTCTATGGGGAGGCAACATGAAGGGTCCATACCCATGCAGCTAAATTCTTCCTCACAAAACAGAATGGACTCATCCATACCACCCCACAGGAACATGTCTTGGCCCATGCTGTCCCCCAGCAGTGTGTGAGTGCTATGTGGTCAAAATGGTTGATTGGTACCAGGGCACATACTAACAATTACACAGGGGGATCTTCAGGGGACCCTGTGCTGCTCCCATTGAATTTACTAGTACAGGTGTTCCTGGGGGGACACAGGTCCTAGCATCTTTGACATGGGGAAAGTGTCAGGGTCTGCAGATGGGTGTCCCCAGGAGACACTGTCCCAGTTTGATGAAGAGCAGGTTTTTTATCTCAACTCTCCGATCAGGAACCATCCCTGGGGAACAACCCCACAGGATCCCACATGTCTGTGTAAGCATGGGGTTGCAAGCTCCATGCTATGACCATGGCTGAATAGCCACTAGACAGACCCCTAATTCCTGAAGGGCTATTCTAGTTTTTGGATGAAGGAACACATGCTGTCCCCATGTAGATTACCAGACCCTTATGCCTGCATCTTTGAATGAGGTTAACAGGTAACTTTGGCTAACCCATGACCCAAAATCAGAGAGGATGAAGGAGACATAATGCTTTGGGGTGAACAGAAGCCTGTTCTGCCTACCCCACATCTGAACCTATGTTTCTGCCTTGGCTCTGCTACAGTAGGCCACCAGCAAAGACCTTGTACCTACCACCTTCCTTGAGGGCTCCCCAGCCAGTGATCCAGCAATGAAGGCCAGGCTCAAAGAGGTGAGAAGGAGCAGGCAAGCAGATGGGCTGGATTAAGGCTGAGATGATCACAGGATGGTCCAGCTGAAGCAGGGCCACATCATAATCATGGCTGTCCTCCTCGTAATAAGGGTGGAGGAAGAGACGGATCACCTTGAAAGACACCTCTGTGTGGCTGGTGGTATTTTGTAAGTATTTGCCCAAGTAAACAGTCCAGATGGAGGCAGAGGCCAGTCTGTAGGATGCATCAGAGAAGATAACTCATCACATGAACAGAGGATAGGCAGAGCCAGGCTGCTTCTGTGGTAGTCTTTTGAGGCATCTTTGATTTGGATGATCATCTCCCTCAGAGGGATCTCTTTCTTTATCTGGCTACTGATTTCAAGAAACTAAGTGGGACATCTCTTTGATGCCTTGACATGCCTGTATAGTGGGACCAACTTTGGGCAGACACTTAAACACACAGGCAGCTTGCTCATAATTGCTTATTTTTTCTTAGCAAAACAGGCTAAAAGGTATAGTCAGGTTAGGCAACCAAGGGGGGCTGGTCATGTGCAAATGACTGTGATAGGACAGAAAACAAGAGCTGAGCTGGTGAAGCAAAGCTGCAAAGAGAAGGGGACATGCAGAAGGAAAGCAAGCTCTGAGACATTTTTAAGAGGTTGTGAAGTGAGGAAAGCAGCTCAGAGGTGAGGGCATTAAAAGGCATGACAGCCCTTTACAGAAACAGGGGTTAAAGCTGGGGACAGTGCAACAAGGCAACACCTCTAAGAACAGAACAGCTAAGAGCTAACAATGAAGGGACACCCTGTCTGCAGCAGGAGGCTGAGGAGCAGAGGGGAACTCACCCTGGACCAGAGCAGGAGGGAGCAGGAAGAGGGCTGCTTTGAGACTCAGAGTCCAGTCTACCTTTTGCCTTTCACATGCTGTTTTCTCCCACACTGCCCCAGTGGGGCAGTGAAAAACTCCCTGGTTTAGTTTGACCATCTCTCTTGCTCCAGACTCCCCTTCAGGACTCTCCTCCAGACTACTGCCTGCACAGGCTGCTGCCCATAGCATGACCCACCCCAGGCTGCGGCCGTTCTTCTGCACCTCTCTTTTTCCCCTACATTTTTTCTCTCACACCACTTAAATTCTCTCCCTGACAGGCACACACATATGCCATCTAACAGAGCTGTGCTAGTTCCATCCATCCTGCACTGGAACATTCCAAAATGGCCAAATTCAGCCTGCGTGGACTGCCTGAAGGGTCTGCTCCCAGTGCTGGTGGGCTTCCTTGCAGGGTTGTAGGACACACGTAGGAGCATGGGAGGAGCAGGGTGAGGTGAGATGCACAAGCACAAAGCAGCCCCAGACCTACCAAGGCTGGTATCACCATACCAAGGATGACCAGCAGCTCCTCCTCCCAGAGCTCACATAGCACTGGGAGGAAAAGGCAGCTAGGGAAGTCCAGCTGTAGCAGCTGGGGAGGTAGGGGATCCCCACTGGCCCACTGGTGGAGGAAAAGGGGAGTTTGGAGGAGGTGGAGAATGGGCCTGAGGGTGTAGACTCCTTCATCCACCCAGCCTGGTCATGCAGCACAGCTGTGGACCTTCCTCCTCCTCACTTCTTCACAGTTTGAAAGAATGAGTGAACACCCCTGCTGCTGTTGTGGTACATACACTGTGTGAACAGAACTGGAAGAGAGACCATGCTTCCTCCTGAAAGCAGAGGCAGCATAGGACCCAAACAGCATCCTCCTCAAGTAATGCTATCCTTGCCCCCTCCCAGCATGAACTGACACCTCCATGATTGTGACAGCATGGGGACAAGTCAGAGCCAAAGCAAAGGTGGAGCTGTGAAGTGTCTTTCATTACCATTGCCCTCCCAAAGCTGCTCTGTGAATCCCAGTGCTGTCCCTTTTTCCCTGAATGCACACCCAAATACTACTGCAGGTATCCATACCCCTTTCTCCAGCTCCAAGTCATGGAGCATGGCACAGGTGCCAGATGAGGGGTGTGGCTGCCTCATTACATTTTCACAAGCTTAATGATCCTCCCGTCATGCATGACATGGAAAGCAATGCAAAGCCCTCTCCTGTTCAGCACACCCACCACCACCCCCCTCCATTTACCTCTCATCCTGGAAGCAGTGAGCAGCTGAGACCACCCAGCGGTCAGCAATGAGCGTTCCCCCACAAATGTGGCGTCCCCGAACTTGCAGGCTGGCCTGCCACGGCCATTCCCCTTCCACAGAATTCGCACCACCCACAATCCTGCTGAGAGGAGCTTGCAGCCCACAGTCTGAAGAGGAGGAGACACAGCAAGTACTTCAGGGGAGGAAGGGAATACGATATACTGTGCCTGTCCTTCCTTTCCTACCAAATTGACTGAAAAGTTTGACGTCTAATCCCTTGTCTTACTTAACCAGCAGATGCTTTATGTACTGTCCAGGAAAGGTCTAGCGAGGACTCCCTTCCAGTGCGTGTCCCTGCTGATGCCTGTGCAGCCTTACCCCACCTCCAGCAGCCTGGGGATGCCTTTGGGGCAGCAAGCTGTCTGTGCTACCTGCTGTCCTGCCAGGGAACCCTTGCAGTCATTCCCTTTTGCTACCCACTGAGGCTCCAGAAAAAACAAATGGGGAAATCAAAACACAAGCTCTCTCCCTGCCCGTGAGCATTGCAGTCACTGGTGTTTTCCCTGGCTGGAGCCTTGTAAGATGGCATTACTTCACATAAGCCAGAATAACAGTCCAACAGGCAGCCTGTGGGTAGGACCTGGCCTGTGAGACACATCTATCTGGCCTGATGCCTGATGGAGATGGAGAGCAGCTGTCCAAAGAGCAGATGCCTGCTCACAGCTCAGCACAGAGAGCTGGCTCATTGCTGTTGCCACTGCTATTGCAGGATGGAGCAGTGGCACTGCTGCTGTGGGGCTGGGGTAGGGAGAAGGTGGTGGAATAAGGGAGGGTGGGTGCTTATGCTTCAGTGGTGGGGGGAAAAGGGAACCACTTGCAGCTATGTGGTATCTTAAACCTGTCTGACCGTTGTGCAACTGAGCATTTCCTCACCACAGCGCTTCTCATCAGACAGGTCCTTGCAGTCTGCAGTGGTGTCACACAGGGGGTTGGGTTTCTTCACACAGGTCCCATCTTCACAGCGGTAGGTGAAAGGACTGCAGGGGATTCCTGCAAAGAGGAAGGGGAGATGAAGCTGAGGAAGGCTGTAGATGCAGCCTGAAGTCCTTTGAGTGGAGAGGAATAGGCAACAGAGAGCTTGGAGGAACTCCCTAAATGATGACAGGGAATTTCCTGAGCAAGCATGGTCATCTGCAAACAGAGCAAACATTGTGAGCAGGTTGGGCACATTAACTGCCAGCTGGTGCCCTTACCTCACAAGAGGTTCAAGCGTAGGGGAAGGTATTTTTCAGCCCAACGCCATCTCCTCCCTACCTTCACTGCACTGCTCCTCATCACTCCCGTTGACACAGTCTAGCTGCTGATTGCAGACCCTGCTGAACTCGATGCAAGTGCTGTCCTCGTGGCACTGGAACTTTGCAGGGCACACTGCACAGGAGGGAAGAACCCAGGAATTAGGCACTCAGGACAAGGTGTCAGGTGTGAGGCCAGGGTCCTAAGTGCACTGGTAGGCTCTGAACCTCTTCCCCCATTTCACAACATGTGCTTAAGACCAGTTCAGGTATAGTGCAGCTGTGTAGGTATGCCTGCACCCTGTCTTACACTTTGCTCACGCTGACTTAACTTTTTTGGACTTCTTGTCTTGACCTCGGACCTACCTCATCACTATAGACTTGCGGTCACTGGACTCTTGGTTGATCCCTAGCTACCATCACCAGACCTGGTCTGCTTGCCTTGTTCAGGTTCTGTAGGACTGCATCCTGTCTGGTGAGGTCACTGTTTCTCCTGCCTTGCTGTCACCCTCGGCTCATGTGTCTTCTTTCCCTGCAGAGAAGCTGCTCCCCTTGCTCTCTGATAGGTGAGTTCTGAACAGCAATGGACTCCTCAGTGTTCATGAGCTCTGATAGTTGCTCAGGATGGAGATGGACCTAAGGTGCCTACCCATCACAGAGTTTGACTTCTGATTATACATTTTCATAGCAGGAGCTTGTCCTGTGTTTGTCTGTACCTATGTGCAACACCAAACATGATGGGGCAGCACCTCCCAGGCATTTTCTTACTGCAATGACTATCATTTCTTCAGTAACTAGTGTTAGGCTTCCAGATAACTAAAGGCACATGAAATTCTGAGGCAATGTGAACATTGTTCTTAAAGACAGGGACTGTTCCATACAGACACAGAGTGAATAAGTAGAGATGCAACAGTGGCAAGAGTATAAGAAAGGAAGGCAATCATTATGTTTCTGTTTTCTTTTTCAAATATAAAGGGATGTTTGAAAGCCCTGAGAAACAAATAATTTTTTTGTTGAGTCTTGGTCTGTGTTAACCTGTGGAACAGAATGACACAATATATCCCTGGGGCCAAGAAGCTAAAAAGATTCAAGAAAGGATTAGATATTCATAGGGATGCATATGTATCCATGCCTAGATGAGGGAAGCAAGCAAGCCCTGATATCAGACAGCTGGATGATGGGACAGAGTGCACCATCAGAAAGACTGCAGACAATATCAAACCCAACCTCAACAATTCTGTGAGAGGTCTCACATTTCCAGCACTGAATTAAAACTTCCTTGATAAAGATTTCTACTTCCTTTTACTTTAGACTTATCTATACCTTCCTCCAAATCTTTCAGAATTGGTCACTGTCTCCAGTGGTTCAGGGATCTTTCTGTCTGTGAAAAAACAGCTGTAGGAGACAACTAATGAAAAGTTAGTGGTGGCAGCAACATGATGAGCCCCTCCCCCATTCACACCAGGGATTGGAGAGTAGATGAATTAAGTGTCATGCCTAAACCTGAATAGCCTGAGAATGGGGCTTTGCAGGAATTCTAGGATGCTGGGGATGGTGTCTGCAACAGCACTAACTGCTGTTTACATGAAGAACTGATGGCTGATGGAAGACTCAGATGCTTCCAAACTGGGGTGCAGGTCAAGGTCTCAGAAGAGAAAGGGGAGAGAGCAGGGCAGCAGGTGGGCTTGGGGAGGAGGTGTGGACAGGGTTGGGAGGGTTGGGAGGGGTGTGCTGAGTGGTATGACAGCAGAGCGGGATGTAGACCAGGGCTGAGGTCGATTGTTGGGCCTAGGTGGTAGGAAAGCAGGTCAAGGTTGAGGATAGTCTTGGCAAGGGGCTTCTTTCAGGCTGCCTGGAGCTCTTGGTGCATGGCTACTAGAGGGTTCCCCTAGGAAGACTGTGCTGTTCACAGGAGCAAGAAGTGTTGCTGCTCCTTCCCGAGCAGGCTGAAGCCATGTGGCAGTGGAACAAAGCTTTTAAGGATGCAGAGGTTTAAGCTCCTGGAAGGGTGGCACAAGTCTGTACCTAGGTCAACCAAATCCTTGTCCTGGTTTGAGTGAGTGGCAGGGGGTTTTGGGTAGCAGGGGAGGGGGCTACAGTGGTGGCTCCCCCAGCTCCAAGTTGGACCTGCCTTTGCACCAAGGTGAACCTGAGAGGAGTTGTGGGAGTTGCGAGGAGAAGTTGTGAGGAGAACATCTGTGCAAACACCAAGGTCAGTGGAAGAAAGGAAGAGGAAGGGGGTGAGGTGTGTGGGAGCAGGGACTACCCTGTATCTCATGGTGAGATGGCAGGGCTGCCCTGCTGTCACCCATGGAGGTCTGCAGTGGAGGAGGTACCAATTTGCGGCCTGGGGGGGGCCCCATGCTGGGACAAGGTGATTGCACCAGAAGAAGGCCAGGACCTATGGGAAGAAGGACCCACTGTTGTAGTTCAGCACTGGGAGGATTGCAACACGTGGGGGTGACCCGCATGCCCATGGGAGTGACTTATGTTGGAGTAAGTTTGTGGAGGACTGTATCCTGTGAGTGGGGGACTGTGCAGGAGCAGGGGAAGAATGCCAGAATTTTCCCCCTCCCCAAGGTGGAAGAAGTGGTAGGACTGGCTGAACCCCCCACTCCGTGCCCCCTGAACCACTGGAGGGGAGTAGGCAGAGATACTGTGAGCAAAACTGAGGCCGGGAAGAAGAGAGGGATGGAGAAAGGTGTTTTCAAGATGTGGTAATGCTTCTCATGGTCCTACTCTGTTAAGTGCAGTTGTTAGTGTCTGTATTAAATTTATGTTATTTTTTTTTCTTCTCCTAATGAGCCTGTCTTTTGCCTGTGCCTTAATGGATGAGATCATTCCTCCCTGTCCTTATCTCAATTTCCTGGGCCTTTTGCTTTTCTCCTTCCCAGCGCTGGGAGGGAAGAGAGGAGTGAGCGGCTGCGTGGCACTCGGTTGCCCTCTGAGCTCAAACCACAACAATTGTCCACATCTCTTCCTGTTGGAGAACTGCTTGCAGAGAGCAAGGCCATGGGTCTCTGCAGAAGCTGATTGCAGCCACCTGAGGTAAACAGAGGAAAAAACCCAGCGTACAGTGATGCTAACAAGGACTGTTATGATAACAAAGAGAGAAGTTGTGGCACATTATGGCCTTGGGGGTGACTAAAAAACAGCCCTGGGAAAGAAGCAGGCCAGAAGAAGGAAGATGTTGTGACATACCTGAAATGCCACAAGGGGCTGGGATATTATAATGTAGCCTTTTACATGTATCCAATAGATTTGTGAGTAGTATGCATGATTATTGTAGAGTGCTTATATAAGGTGTGATTTCTTTCAATAAAGTTGAAGCTTGCTCTATCATTCACATTGAATCGGCTGCTTGCTTCCTCCGCCCGCCGCATCTTCCTGCCTTAGGAAGACCAAGGGATTGTGTCCTGCTGAGACCAGGGACCAGTGGGGAGAAGAAATCACTCACCACAGTTTCTCTCATCCAACCCATTGGGGCAATCTTTGATCCCGTCACAGGCTGGGACGCACAAGCCGTTCACCAAACACAGGAACTCCCCAGGACAGGCTGTGAAACCACCAGAGAGTAGTTAGTCCCCAGTGACTGGAAATCTTGCAGCAGAACACTGTGGCTTTAAAGTGGAGCATGTAGCTGCGCACCTTCCTGACCACATGTGTGCTGCAGCACCATGTTGACGGCACTCACTGAGCTCCCCAAAATCTGCCATGTCGTCTGCTCTGAGCAAGGGCAAATGGAGCCAGGCTATGTGCACCAGGAAAAGGGCTCTTTTCCTGCTTCTTGTTGTACCAACGGGCAAGAGCCAGCACAACTACCTGCCTGGCATGATGGACTTCTGGTGCAGAGCTGTTTCATGACTCCTGAGTGCTGCAGGAAAGCTGAAACAGGTTCTTTGTTATTAAAATTTGGTTGTGACCTTGAAGAGGTTCCTGTTAGACACGCGTTAGCAAGTGCATATATTCACAGACTGCTATGCGTTACAGTCAGCCTTTAGGAGGAAGATGGAGAAATCTTGGAAAAACAGACTGTGGGTGTGCATTTGCATATGTGTGTATGTGTATTTGTGTGTGGTTTGATTAGTCTCTCACTTGCACAGATTCCAAGATGAGCAGGAAACAGCTCTCTCTAAAAGCTCTTACAATCAAAATAAAAGTCACTTCAAGCTGGAGATGGTCTCTCATTGAATTTCCAAGGCCAGTCCATGATGTGGGCATGGGTATGAAACTGTAGACAACTCTCTGGCCTTGGGTTTTGGTATATGGATGCTCTGGCGTCATGAGGCAGGGCCACACATGCAGAAGCAGCTTCACACATAAATGCCTCTTCTTTTGGGGAGATAAGTGGTGTGTGTGTCACTGATTTGTGAGCATGTGCCTGAAGGGCAGATGGCCCCTAGGACTCATGGGATGTGTCTTGTGTTTCTCCTAACATGAGCCAAGTGCACAGGGGCTGCTGGCAGCCACCACCCCACTCGGGAGCAGGGAGGAACCTATACTTACGGTCAGACTGGTTGTACAGACTGTAAGCTGCCTGTACACCGGGGCCAGTTAAGGAGACTTGAGAGGTGAAGGTGATGGTGATGTCAGCAGAGGATGTGACTGGGATTCGCTCAGCATAGGCTTGCAGGGTCCGCAGGCCACACAGCCTGAGGAACAAACACAGAAGGGATATCTTGGTTAGGGAGGGAGGAGAAGACAACGAAGTGGGGCAAGGGAGCTTGGTCGTGCTGGGGTGGGAAGGGGGCCACACAGACTGGGTGTGAGGGGGAAGCAAGAAAAGAAAAATGCCTTCAATATGGCATGTGATCCAGGCCCAGAGTGATCCTACTATCTTTGGACGTTTAGCACTTTCTGGGCAAGCGTTGAATTCAGGCACACAAAACAATTCAGTTCTTACTGAAGAAGACGTTCAGTTCCTCCTGAAGAAGACATGTTGTAGAAACTGTGGTGCTGACAGTTTAAGAGAGGAAGGCAGGGAGAGAAAAAGTGGAAATCCTAAGCCAGGGGAACATAGTTTCTCGATCAGACACTTCAAAGGAAAAGAAGTTACCTCCACAGGAGCAATGGAGAAGTTAATGAGATGGTCTAGGGGAGGTTTTGGAGGGAAAGGGACAATTTTGCAGTAAGTGGGAGGAAAACCAAAAGCCGTAAGTCCATCTCGAGCTTGCTTTGAGGAGATGGGAGCACAGCAACTCTTGGTCCTTTGCACCTGGGCAGTGGTGGGCAGCAACACCAGCTACATATGGATGCTAATTTTGGAAAGTCCTGCAGGGGAATGTGACTGCAGTCAAAGCAAGAGGATATGGAGCTAGGCGGAAGATCTATACGGAGGTGGATACAAGGCAATGGCACACACAGATAATATTGCAGAGGTGGTGACAGGCAGATTTGCAAACACAGGAGATGTGGGAGGACATCAAGGTTACACACAGAGGAGAAAACTAGGAAGCCTGATGCAAAAAGCAAGACAGAGAAGGCAGGCTGGTAGCTCGAAGCAAATCTGTAAGAAAAGTGCTCACTGGGGAGCCTGTGAACAAGAGAGGCTGAAAAAGAAGTAGAAAAGCAAGAGGCACCAGCACAAACCGTGGCCACGGAGTGTGGTGATAGGTTCTCCTTCCTTAGACCCAGTGGTTGAAGTGAGCAGGTAACCTGCAGAGGTTTAATCCCTGTTTAATCCCAGGCAGGAAGTGAGACAGAAAGCAGACCCCAGCACACACCTTCTGTTCTGGATTATCCACTGGCCTTGGGTACAGGGCAGGTCGTGCTTCTGTCTGCTGAGTGCGTAGGCATCGAACCACAGGGTGACCCCATAGTCGAGAGATGGGACCTGCAGGCAAGAGAGTCCAGAGCAGAATGTAGATGGCTCCTATGAGTGCTACAGCCCACTCCATGTTACAGAAACAAGCAGGGTAGATGTGGAGAGCTGCCAATTTACACACTGAAGGCCAGAAGGAAGCACCCTCTAAACTGGGGCCACGCCACAGCCCAGTGTGGCTTTGCTGCTGTTCTCAAAGCATGGTAATTCCTAGCAATTGCCAGCAATCTGGTTCTGTCTTCAAGAACTCCTCTGGAGACCAGATTTCAAATTCCCCCTCAGCTATGGCATTTCTGCACTGGCATGCCATATTAGACTCCTTCCCTTTCAGAAACACACATTATGCGGGAGCTAGGGGGGCTGCCACCCTCTGCTTGCTTCTCATGATGATCTAACTGAGAGCACTGGCTGTACCCCCTCCAATGTGGGCAGTGCCGCATGGGTATCAGGGATGGGGTGGATGCTCTCGTGGGGGATAGCACTTACCGTCATGTGCCAGGTGCACTGTGTGTTGGGCGAGTAGTAACTGGGGTAGTGTGGGGTGCCAATCTTCCCCTGCAGCTCCAGGCCCTCCCGCAGAGTTATATTCACTTTGCAGTCTGTAAATACAGACATTCAGAGCTATGTTACCTGTCAGCTCAACCCCAGCCTGGGGATGTCATGTACTCATCCTGTTGTAGGAGGCAAGAAAGGGGCTCTAAGGCCTGATGCTAAAGGTGACTGGAATGTTCCACTATCCCTCTTCAAGGAGCCATTTCTTCCTGGCAAGACTTTTAGCTTCCTCCTCTTGTCTAGAGAAGGGCAATGCTAATGTATATTGCTGCTTTATACTCTTATACTGAATTGACATTTATCTGCAAGTTCATCTGGATGTGATGCCCAGGCCACATCTGATCTGCCCATGCATGAGACCTTGGCCTTCTTTTAAAGCATCATGACCACTCAGGCTCTGCTTGCCAGAGCCTGGGCTGTAAAGATTCAAGCCAGATGCTAATGTGTGAATCCAGCTGAGGGAGCAACATCTAACCTGCTTTTTACTGACAGCCTCTACCCTTGCAATCTAGAGTGAATTCTGCCCCTAATGGGGATGGAACACCTCTAGAAACCGTGATGTTGTAGGAGATAACCTGTCTCTTTCCTGTATATATGGCTGCTTTCTTCCAGTCTTCCTCACCTTTGAGGGGCACTGCCTGTGCTGAGAGGATGAAGGGGTCATAGTAGCTGTACATGGCTTTCTTCCACACAATGGACATGACAGGGCCAGATGAAAGGACTTCCACAATGGGCTCCTGCCGGCTGCAGCCGTAGATCCTCAGGGCAAAGACATAAAAAGATGGGAGTGAAGAAAGCAACAAACAAATAAAACAGAAAAACGAGGAAGAGAGACAATGGAGATCTGTGTTATTCAAAACACATGCCTGCTGTGAGGCACTAACTTCATCAAAGGGCCAGATAAAGATAAAGGGCCAGCAGAGGCACAGCTTGTGTTGTTGTATTCTCAGACTGCATGGCTGGCTGTGTGATATCCCACATCAGTGCCTTCAGATGATCAGCAAGAGGCAGGCTCTGCATCAAAGAGAATTTCCTCTGATGTAGACTAACACCTTCCCCTTCTGTGGTGTGCTGTGCCACCCTGCCCGTCTTCCCTGCCATGCTTGTCCTGCTCAGGAGCTACCTACGAGGTGATGAGCTGTTTCGCCAGGGGCCCGGCTGCATCATACATAGCCAGACGGTCCCTACAGTCTGGGAGAGTCCACTCCAAGTGTAGCTTGATCATGTAGCCCTTGAGGCTGTGGAGGTGCCAAAGACAACTGGAAGCCAGGTAGTCAGGGCCCTCCAGCCTTAGGATATCATCCTCCTGGACATAGCTGTACCTGTAGCAACCTGAATCCGGGGGAAAGATAGAGGGATTTAAACATCAGCGTGGTGTGAAAGGAGGAAAAGTGAGGCTTAGGTGCAGTTGTAAGGGAAATCAAGACACGGTACTCTCACTTTGGGGATCAGGTTTTAAATATCAGCACAGCACAGTTATTTTCCACTGGCTTTATTTTCTTCTTTTTCACCTCTTTTTCTCTCACTCCCATATTCTTCCTGGCTTTACATCCCCCTCATCTGATTTCCAGGTTTCAGCAGGCTCCCAGACCAGGATTTTTGAGTAAAAGTCAACTTAAATGTGAGTTTCTAATAGCTAATGCAAGCTGCCAGCCACAGCACTTACAACAGTGCCTCAAATTACTAAAAGCATCTTCAGATGTCACTAAGACATCAGACTCCTAAATGACTGACAGCATATCCAGTGCATAGTCACCCAGGGAAACTCCTATCCCACTCAGCAGAATTTCATGGGGCCTCGAATTAACACTGTTGTACCAGTACACCAAGCTATTTGACAGGACTCATAGGACAGGGACAAAACTAAGGTGGCTGCACTGCCCCTGGGAGCTGGTATCTGCACAGCAGTGTGTTACTGGGGCAGAGGTGTCAGGATGCTCAAAACAGTCCAGCGTGTAGCTGCATCATGTAGTTTGGATCTGGTCAAGCAGAAGTATTGGTGCTCCCTTGCTACTGTTCTCATCTCCCCTTCCCAGGATTTACAACTCCAGGAAGCCAACAAGATTTCTGTCCCCTGCAAAAAATCCCTCCCATAAAGTCACAAACAAAGGAAAGGAAAAGATAGCCTACCCAGGGTGGATTTCAGCACTACTATGTCTTTCACACTGGATTCTGTTAGGAAAAAAATATATAAAGGAAGATAAACAAAAAGATGAACCGGTAGTATCTAAATGCTAGTATGGCAGGCAATGACTTCCTATGTAAACAGCTCACTTACAACTTCGGCATGGAGCATCCTCCAGGTAATTCTCTGTCAGTTCTCAGTGACCTGTTTCAGTCATGCCTTCCACACACCCTCTCTCTAGGAAATCTCTCTGGCCTCTGCCCCAAATCCAACAGCCCAAATTCATTCTTTCCATCCCACCACCGGCTTCTCTGTTTTTTTTCCTTGTTCATTGTCATGTGCTATTCCAGGACTTCTTCCACTTCCCAGAAGGGCTGGGCATTGCTTCAGGCAGCCGTCCACCTTCTTTGCCAGCTATACCACAGGGCACAACCCCACTTCCCAGAGCCTTCACCATCTGCTCACCCCTCTCCTGCTCTCCCAGTTTAAATAACCCTCACTGAAAAGTATGCCAGTTACTGAGGGTGGGGAAGAAGGAATCTTTTGATGACCAGTGGCTGATGAGCTACTCAACATCCTTACAGAGTCCACCTCAGCAGAAGGGAGATGCTTTCTCAGCCACCAGCCAGGACTACAAATCTGTGCAAGAGTCTCAGGGTGGACGTTTTAGGACAGCTGGGCTTTGCTCTAACCTGCCAGCTGAACTGGAAGTGGCCAGAGATCAGGTGGTACTGGGAATAAATGCCAAAATAAAAGGCACCATGAGGTCAGTTGGGTGTGAGAATGGCTGTTGGGGTCTTGCCTGGGTCAGGGCTTTGGTCTTTTGTAGCTCCTAGGCAGAGCTTACAATTCCATGGGGAGAGCTGAGTAGTTTTGTCATGGCAAAAACAGATATTGTGGAAAAGATGATCCTGCAGGCATAAGGCAGGCTCCTGGAGCTCATGTGCTGTAGGGAAGTATGTATGCTGAGCTGATATTAAGTACTCTTTTATCTGAAAGGAATAAAACTGAGTTCCTGTAGGGAGAAGGAAGTCCTGAAACTCTCGGGGGAAAGGCGAAGCCAGTGTTCTGAGGTGAGTGTAGCTGTTAGTAAAAATAAAGCGTTAGAGAGGTTTCTGCTCTAGTCAATGGTTTGTAGCTCTGTGTCTTAAGGCAGGCTGCAGGGAGACAATGTTTAGAGCTAAGCAGGACAGCAAATGAGTCTGCCAGAAGCCAATGAAGTGCTAATGACTTGCTATTAGCTAGCTATTTTTTCACCAGTTTTACAGAGCGAATGAAGCCAGAGGTTAAGTCACTGACTTGAGGTCAGCCTGGCCCAGCAGTATAAGAGGTTTCTGGCTTTTGCCTTAGTTGATAGACTGTGCTTCTGACTGGAGAGGGAGGTGGAAAGGAGTAGGGAAAGCAGAAGGAGCTGGAGAAACTACATCTGCTGTGTTAGTTCCAAAATAGAAAGGAGTGTGGTCTGCTGAAATGAATAAAACAGTGAAACAGATGCAAAGGGAATAGGAAGGAACTGGGAACAGCTAAAAGAATGGCACCATCATTTCTGTTTGCTTATGAGTTACATTATGAAGTGAGTAAATAAAGGGAAAATGCTAGATGGGCTTGGAGATATTAAGCATATTATCTTTCTTAAGAAGGTTAATTTAATAGGCTGAGCATAAGGTCTAGTATGCTGGAAACAAATCATAAGTAGAAGTGACTAATGGTAACTGCAGGAGGAGGTGTCTTTGTGAGATCCTAATGTGGCTTCAGAATAAGATCTTAACATGATGGTCTAGATGAGGGAGTGAAAATAATTTTGAAGAAATTTTCAAACTTTGGGGACACACACACAAAAAAAGACCCCCAAAATGGAACAACTGAGATATGGAGGGAAAAGTTAAAGAAAATATGGATGAGATATATTACAATAAGATTCACCTTAGAAAAATGCAAGATAATATGTCTGGGGAAAAAAACTTGGAGATGTAACATTTCATGGGAAGAAGAAACTTGGAAATGAGAGTCCCAAGGGGAGAGAAGAAACACAATATATCTTAAAACCTATGAAGTCTGGGGCTCTGTAAGAGGGATCAGATCAAGCTGAGAAGACAAATTTCATTGGAATTGGATGCATTGAATATAGACACATCCCTAGTTCTTTATGTAACACCTATTTTAGAGCAGTTCTTTAAGGGTGGCTTTTTAAACAGCCTGTAATCTTCACTGTGGGCAACAATAAATGATCCTTAAAATCATACATCAAGAACTGAAGTGTCAACAATGCTTTGTCTCAGAGGAAGACTAGTGATGACTCAGGTTATGTTTTTCTCTCAATCAGGTAGCCTGGAATAATCTCCCAAAGGAAAGCAGGAAATATAATTGCTTGCTATTTTTGAGCTGAACTAATCAAAGTCATGACCTGTGTAAGATCTTACTCCACAGAAGCTAAAGCTGATGGGAGGAGGAGGAAAAAAAAAAAAAAAAATATCCAGCCAGTCATGGGTCATGGTCAGCTGTATCTCAAATAATCTTTAACCCTTCAAAGGAAGGATGATTTTAAAAATCAAATTTCATTTCTCCTCTATCAGGAAGATATATGTGTAATTGTATCTCCTGATCCTCACTTTTTCTCTATCATCTTCAAGTTTCCTCCATCCTCTTCAGTAGTGACTTCTGGCCTTTTCTCCTAACCTTTCAGCACCTTATAAATCTTAGAACTGTGAGAGATGACTTGTAAAAACAGGTCCTGAAAGAAACAGGCTTGCAAGAAACAAGGACTGAGAAAAACAGCCTGAGAAAGAGATAAAGGGTAGAAGGGGGAGTGGAGGTCCTCTGAGCTAAGGAATGTCTCAAACACTTGCAAGTAATGAAACTATAGTCAGGGGGTGGATCGTGTGGAGGTTGAAGCTGATAAGGCTGTGCCAATAACACAGGATGCAGCTGGAGCAGGGAGCCCTGTGGAGACAGGATGGCTCTGCTCCGGTGCACCTGGGCAAATTTCAAGGGCCATCTGTCCGGTGAATGAACTTTGCTTCATTATCCAAAAATGCATATTAAAGTTAACATCCCTCAATATACTAGCGAAGACTAACAAGATCATGATACTTACATCATCCTATGAAACACCTTACCCCTTCCCATACATGGGTTTTGTAGGTATGTGTATTGACCTAGGGGATAGACCCAAGATAAATGTGTATTAAACAAGAGGGGGCAAGGGGGGGAAGGTGTTTCCAGAGAGTGAAGTGAAGAAGATGGATGCCTCATGGAACCCTTGCTGGCAGGATCAGCGCAGGAACCCAGACCCGTGATTTCTATTCCTCTATTCTCTCCATCTCCCTCCTTTCCTTTTTCCCCTTTTCCTTCGCTACCATTAAGAAATGCGAGGCATACTGTATTGATTGCCATGACTCATCATCTACTTAGCCAATTATTGTGTATCCAATTAGTACATTGTGGGAACTTAATAAATATTTGAACTTTGAGATTTGTCTCACCATTGTCCATTCCATTGGGGATTTACAAATCTGAGCCACTTGTCTCCCTCGTGTGAGCGGGACATGAAAGGAACATTTCTGACTGCTCAGGCTGCAGCTGAGCAGCTGCTACTTACCCAGCAGAACCAGTGAGTCTGGGTTGACACTGTACTCCATCTGGTAGGACAGGCTGTTGAAACTGGTGGAGAGCTCTTGGTGGAGCATTGTGTTTACCCTCTCAGGAGTCACCTCCTTCTGCTGACTTTCAGGAATTTGGAGGGTGAACCAGAAGAAGAAGGTCAGAGACCCCTCCCTAACAGAGAAATAGCATGTTAAATATCCTCTCTTCCTCTCCAGAATCACTGGAGATGCAAACCCCAGAAATTAACCCCCCACTGTTTTTCCATAAAACAGACATATCTGTATGGACTTTCCAGTTCACTATTGTGACCCAGAGAAATCATTCTGAGTGGGGCAGGAGAGCTGTTATGTCCATGGTGTTTGTTAATGATCAGTCCTTTGGGGAAGGAAGACATTTTATGCCATCTGGCTTTAGTGATGACCATACCTGGTCAAATTAATGTGATAATTAATCAAGACTGGTCTAATGAGAAGTCTCATTTCAGGTAGAAATGACCTTTGGTTACTACTGACCAGGGATTGAAAAGAAACACTCAAAACTTCATTATCTCACCTCCCAGTGGTGACAAGTGGATGATTAATGACTCAATACCTTACCACAAGCCATTAACGCTTGGGCAGACTCAAGCTGCAGGAGACTGTGACTGGGAAAACTCTTCCCAACTGGCAGATAAAATTGGCTGGGGGAAGGGGAAGAGATGTTGAAACAAACCTTTCTTCAGTAAAAAGCTAGAGGAAGAATCACAAGTGAAACTTTTCTTTCCACAGTTGAAAATGGAGTTACAACAAAATTGGAATTTTTCTTAGCTGAAGGACAAATTTAGGGGTGTAGTTTTCCACAGGAAAAAAATCAGAAGGAAATGGATACTTCAGTCTGGAAGCTATTCCTTCTTTCCTGATCTACTGTGATGACCTGCAGAGCTGTAGTCCCACCTCTGTTCTATTCACTGTTACCCTATTCCCAGGTGGACCATGCTCCTTGGCTGGAATACCTTTTCCATGGTGCATTCTGGCCTCCTCCTTCTGGTGCCTAGAATCAGGCCATAAAGTGACTTCTTTGAATTAGACAAATTAATTTCCATCTGCTTAGTTTCTACTGAGAATGCCAAGCCCATGGTTTTTTTTTTCAGTTCTTCCCAGTTAATTTTTTTCTTCTCTTGAACTTTTGCCTCTCTGAAAAATGTCTCAGTTTTTGCTTTTCATCATGACCTCGGATGATCATTAAAATATCCCCAGCTCTGTCATGCTGGAACCATTCTAGATCTGGACTGCCCAGCCTAGCCTAGAGCTCACAGTAGGGACTGCAGCAGCTTGTCATAGCCAGGTTTCAGTGAAACCAGAGTACAATTGACTGGAAGCTTTCACACACAAGCAAGCAAATATGCTATGGGTAATGATACTCACCCAAAGGCATACACTGTGCTCGAGTTGTAATATTGATCCAGTTCTGTGGCACAAATCAGTCCCTTCAGCTGAAACAAGAATGTAGTCTGATAACTATCGTGCAGAGTTACAGTGGCAAAGGATCTATGGCCAACCCTATGATTCATGCTTCTTCTTGTACAGACCCATCAAGTCTGTCACTTGGATGGGGGTACCTGACCCCTTCCTCTTTCTACTCAGAGGGCCAGCTCCTCTTTCTACTCGGAGGGCCAGCTCTGGTCATGAAATTGCCCTCACCATCTTCTGGAGCTTAGCTGACTCCAACCAGAAGGCTCTGGACTCCACTTGTCCCAGGTCAGGGGAGTATTGGCGATTGAGGACCTGGAGGCTGCCACAGTAAAACTGCAGGACGGCTGGTTCCAGGTGCCACGGTCTGTAGTCTGCCAACAGAATTACTGGATTACCTTGATGATATATAGGAGAGAGGGGTTTACCCCTATGTATGAGTTTTTAAAGATCACACAGAGTCACTAACATGCTTTGGGCTGGGCACTTGCCTTGGCTATACCTAACTTCATGGGGACAAAATATGTTGAATTTTTACCTAGGAAATACCATGTTGCTGCAGCAGCTCCAGCCAGCAAAAGAAAGGCTATCCCAAGGGGTATATAGCGGAGCCAGTCACATGAATTAGTCTCCAATTCATCCTTTGAGAGGGAGTTGGTATCTTCCTCCTCTTCCTTGGCCTCCATCAGGGGCATCTAGGGATACAGCACATCGTGATTAGGCTGGGTTTTCTGCATCCCTTTACATCCATCTCTGGAGGTGCTCTGCCATCTCTGTATTCCTCTCCCAAGATCTGTAGACCCAAGAGATCTGTGTGCTAGCCATCAAAGACTTTGCTCAGTGCAAATGTGAGTAAAATTCCTAATTCAGTGGGAGGCAGGCTTCCAGGACATTGTTCTGACTACAGCTCTGGGTAATCCTTCAATTTTCAAAGTCATTCCTTGGGTTTTGCTTCTGCCAATACTGCAAATGAGTACAATAATGAATTTCTTCAGAGAAAAAATTTTTGTTCTCTCATGCTGGGAACAGTTTTAAAACTGGTATTTTACTGACCTAGAAATCAATGCAAAAGAAAATCTGTGACCGTAAATACACACAGAAGTTGAACAAAACAGGCACAACCTGGGAGCCTGAAGTTGCACTTTGCATTCTGTGCCATTTTGCTCTTGGTCCCTAAAAGTAAGCTAAACTTGCCATTCCCACCAGACTGTGTGTCCCAGGGCTAAGCCCATGCTGGCACTGACTCTCTAGCTGAGCTAGTGAGGAGAGAGCACCTGTATAATGTTCAGCCTTCTACCACACTCTGCTTTTGCCAGGGGACACTTTCCGTCTTCCTTTGCCCCTTGTCTCCCCCAGGCTGTTTCTCTTGCTTCCTCCTGACTGCTCTCCTCTCAGCCCAACTCTGAGAGTAAGAAAAGCTGTTGTCTAGGAGAGCCACAATCTTGGCTATATCTCACCCACCTTCCTTCCCCTTTCCTCTGCCATCACCCAGTGCACAGCTGCCCCCAAAGGCTTTCTTTGTCTCTGTGGCTGGAAAGGGATGTGAATACATCCATGTGGGAGGAAACAAAAGTCTTGGGGAATGCCTGTGCTGTGTCTACATGTCTGTGAGTTGTCTTCTTGCCCAGTGGTGTGTGTGAGCGTGGGGGCATGAGTGCATGGGAGGGACTTGCTGCAGATGTGGGAAGAGGTGGTTGGCCTCATGCACATTTTAGCCCACGTGGAAGCCATGGAGTGTTCATATGATAGGGGCAAGTGGGCTTCTCAGCTTCCTTGCTTTCTCCCAGTTACTGAGCCCCAAGCCTTCCAGGCGTGCAACATGGAAACACGCTTGCAGAATGTAAGCACAAGGTAACGCACTCTGGAACATTAAACCCATCATGGTGAACATCAGTACTCAGTCAGCCACACATCTGCTTGCTCTAATGCACCCTTCCAGAGGGGCACATGGTACAAACAGGCCCAGCACAGACTGCCCTCCTTTGCTTCTCATGGGCCACCTTTTGATGCAACCCCTGGGGGGGATCTCCACAGTGAACCAGGCTGGGTGATCCAGGAGAGCAAGGGCACTGCTCCGCTATCACAGCATCCCTTCAGAAACAGCAGGCACAAGCAAACAACCGCAGACTGAGGGGTGAGGGGAGGAGGGCAGGAAGCAGCAGCAGAAGAGCCTCTTTGTTAGAAGATTTGATGGTAGGCACCGGGGTTTCCCCCAGAGCTGCAGACCTACCTTTGAAGCCTGCTGCCACCTGTGAGGCCTGGACCACACCCCCTACGCAAGCCAGCTCACACACGCATGAAGTGTGGGAGAGAGGAGGACATTTGTTTACCCAAGCTCAAGGTCTCCTCAGCGATCAATAACCTGATGCCATGTCTCTTCAACTCGGCCTTTGTCCTGCACCGTCCTGCTGTGATGGGTCAGTGCACTCCGTACAGTGGCTTTTTTATTTTCTGAAATTGAGGTTTTGGAGGCTTGCAGGGAGAGAAGATCTGCAGGCTGAGCAGGAAAAGCCTGGAAGAAGTCAGGGTAGGAGCACCTCCAGCTGTGCAGAGAAGAACAACCCAGGAGACCACTGCAGATAGGTTACATTGTCCTCCTCAGGGTACAGGGAGTTGCTGAGCAACTGCTGTATTTCTTAGCTACCCTCCTTGGTCCCATTGGAAGGAGAGGCAAAACGCAGTGTGTGCTCCCCAGCACAGGGATGAAGCAGGGAAGATGGCAGTAGACAGCAGCTCCGGTTGCTACAGTGGTCACGCAGATGAAAACAAAGCAGTGTCCCTTAGTCCTGACCTGCAAGACTCCTTCTGGTCTTCTTGCACTTCTCACAGGCCAGTCTCCCGACACTTGGCTCCATGCACTCTGTTGCACTGCCACTCACTCCTCCCTGAAGCATTTGGTTTTCTTCTAGCCCCAGATACTCCTCAACCACCTTGCTTGCACCACCTCCTGCTTACAGCCCTGCAGCTCTGTATGTGCCCCTTTGTTTTTCACAAAAAGCAATCATGCTCCAGCCAGAGCAAAGTAAATAGTTATTCTGTCAATAAATGGGTGGAGGCAATGGGGACATGGACAACTCTTGACCTGGGGCTGAGCTTCAGCCAGTGGCATTGATAGGGCTGAGCTCATTGGCGCCAGAACTCATTTGGGCTCATTTTGGCAGCTGGGCAGGTAGAGCTGTTTTCACTCTGCCACCATTAGTCTGGGATTGCATGAAGTCCAAAAACCATTGTTGTAGTTGCCTCATGGTGGATTCTAGTAGATAAATGTTAAATGCATATGAAAAACTGCAGTGTTTGTCTGGGAATGTGTCGGTTTGGTTATACTGACTAACCCATTGCTGTACATATAGCAAACTGAGGCATGGAATGACAATAAGAAATGCTTTCAGAACAGCCTGAGAGATTTAAGAGACCAACTTTCACTTTTAAAAATTACTTTGAGACAACATTTCCCCAGATAACTGAGGCCTATCTGCATCTTTAGGCATATATATATATTTGTATATGGCTTTTCCAAGCTTTCACTATGAGGGTTTGCCACAGTGGGTCAGAATCCAGATGAGGGTATTTCCCAATGCCAGAGACATTACCTTTTTTATATCCAACTTTCCTGGAAAGAAACATCCTCCTTCTCTGGTGTTTTCAGCAGAATAAAAAATACAGAATCTCAATCTGATCTATCTAAGCAAGCATACCACATCTATCACCACATGCTTTTGAATCAACCAGGGACCCAAAACCTTGATCATATCTACTTCAGAGGAATTCCTTTACTGCAAGTACCCTTTACTTTCCGCTTCTCCACAGTAAAAAAAAAGGAAGAGTTGTGGGAGGGGGCTGTGAGTGATGTTGCCTATTTACAAACAAGGTATCTTGGAAAGAGGGAGATGAGAGATGTGACATCTATCTTTGCTGTCTCTGGGCTTTAGATAAAGAGAGGACTCATGTCTGTGGCAGTTGGTGCAATATTTTCCACACAGCGCTGGTGTTCAGCTTTGGTTTGCCCTTGGTACTGATGGACACTGTTGTAGCATCTTTCTGTGGTTTTGTGAACCACACACTGTGTGTTCACATTGGCTTGAGAGGGGACTGCTCCCCACATGACATTTCCAAAGAGCTCTTGCCAACCCAGCAGAGAAAGGGCATTGTATCACTGAGAGTGTTATGTTTCTGGTATTCACAACCTGGGTTAGTCACATATGAGACCACATGATCTTGTCTTCCTGGAAGAAAGGTCCAGTTATCATCAGATCTGATGCTGAGCACTTCCTGCCCCAGTGTGTCACACATTCACACCCAGCGTGGCTGTGAATGCAGTGCTAACAGCTTGCCAGGTTGAAAGCTGTCAGCATTTTCACAAGTGGGGGAAAAATAACTGAGCCAGCAGGATAATCCTCAGGGGCTTGCAGCAGAGTCCCCTCCGACTCTGTTTTCTGTTCTAGGTGGCCGAATCTCTTGGGGAAGAGAGTAGGAAGAAGGGCTAAAGGTATATTGGTCAGAGCAAAGCTTTGCCTAGTCCCCTATCTAGAAAGACTTAATAATCATTTCCCCCACCCCAAATGACAGAAAAACACTGTAGATTCCGTAATATTCCTTTTATTTACAAGGAGACAATGTTTTTCTTTTGTACTCATCTTAGCAGCAAGAATAATTGGAAAGCTTATGAAGATCTACACTGGGACAGGATAACCACCAGTAGAGCTAGGATCCTTAGCCCATGTAAGATAGTAAATTACTCATCATGGGATTCAGTGTCTCTTTCTGAAATCCATCTGAGAAGATTGTCAAAGTACAGCAAAAAGCTGGGCAAGACTTGTGTTTCCTTATCTGGGAAGCTGTGGGGTCTTTTTCACCTGCTGTCTCCTGGAGACAAAGGAGCAGTCCATGTCTAGTTGCAGGTGATGAAGAAGCTGATGATAAGAGAGGTATAGCTCCCCCAGCCTTCTGAGCTGCAGGCAGGCTAAACTCCTTTGAGCAGATCTTTTGAGGTGAAATCCAAGTCCGTGGGTGACCCTGTAGCTGGGAATCATGATATTCAGGCTGTATAATGCAAGGTCAGGTAATAGTGTGGGACCGAAAGACAAAGAGGAAGCTTGACGCTTGTGCAGACAGAGGTAGGGAAGAATCAGTTCTGGGTGATACTCACAGGGGTGACAGAAGTACCAACAAGATCAATATTCCCAATCTTTTTGACATAGCAACTCTTAGATATAACAAATCTTTACCACAGGGCTGGTATTTTCCCACTGCTGCATAGTCCAGAAATATGGTGAGAAAGTGGACAGTACAGATGTTGAATGCAGGAATGGATGCAACCAGAACAGCTTGTCTTCCTTTGCCTTGCCACTTTTTCTTCTGTGTTGCATTTTCTCAACCCAGATCAGCAAATGCAGAGGAAAAAGAAAAAAAACGTAGTCTTTGCTATCCCCATTCTTTGTGAGTGGATTGAGGTTTTCTTTTCAGCAAAGGTGCTGATTTGTGGGTTAGTTTTCTGGGTTCATTCACCACATCTTTGTCACTACTTAGGCAATGGTTTCTCTTGAGCAATGGAAGGAATGGGCAGCACCGTTGTGATGTTTTCCACTAATACAGGATGTGGGATGAACTATTCTGCAATCATCTTATCATAGTCAAATAATTGTATTCTGCCAGCAGGGCAGAGAGGCTTTCGATTTCATGAAAAATATTGCAGCAAGAATGGGAAATTGTGTGTGTTCTTCTTACTGCCATCATCACACCTGAGGGAAAGAAGGGTGGGGGAGGGGATTTCCCCAGTATTTTTAACTCAATAATGGGGATTTCTTTTTACATTGCACTGCTTAGACAGCTGACACAGTTGTGGCTCTGAGCTGACCTTAGAGACTCAAGTCTAAAGCTGGACTGAGTAGCTCAGAATGTAATCTCTGATTAAAAACAGAAGTGGGGACACCACAGAAAAAAATTACACCCTTGCTCACTCAGGAGGAGATGTCTTCATCCCTTTCATCATCAGCCCCAGCACTGACTTGCAGTGCTACTATCCCTCGTACAAAATCTCATATCCACTTCTTCAGACATTTCTCCCTCCCATTAGAGGTTTTTAGGCTGGGATGAGGCAAACGGACCATGTGCCTTGTCAGCCTCAAATCTGAGTGCTATTTTACACCGAGATAGAGAGCATGGAAGTGTTGGCACAGCCTCCTACTGGGAGCTGGTAAAGAAAAAACAAGCTGTTGAGGTTTGGAATGGCACTTGAGCAGTGTGGGAAGGGGTTTCTATGCCATTGGATCCAGTAATAGCAGAGAAACAGGTATGAAGGTGAGTCCTTGTCAGCTTGTATGCCTAAGGATCAGTCATATACATCTCCATTAGCTGTGTAGCCATGAACAGCTTTTATGTGCTTTTATCATTCTCCATGTGTTGCTTTACTACTCACTAGTACAGATGTCCATGCAAAATGTTCTTTCATTTCCAGCAGTTTATTTCACTAACACCTTACCTTGGGAACTAGTGTTACCTAGGTAGCCATCCATGAATTTACACCTGGTTTTGCAGACCTCTAGAGTAACTGTTCTCCAGCCTCATTAAAGAACAGTCCCAATGGGTTTGATGCCAAAGTCACATTCATGTCCTAAATAGAAAAACTAACCTTCCCTACAGAAAAGGCCTTCTCCATCTGTGGGTTTCCTCCAGGCAGATCTTAAACAGAACAATGGTTGTACTGGCTTTGGAGGTCCCTCAGGGAAAGGTAGGCACCAGTGTTTGGGAACTGGCTGGAGAAGGCTATTCTGCATGGATCCTCATCTTGGCTTTGTCTTAGAGGTGGAGGCTGAGAGAAAGAAGAGGGAGTATGTGCTGCTGGTGTACAGGGTTCAGTCAGAGGGCTTGCCCTCCCACTCCCCTCCATTATATTGATAGTATTGCTGTCATGCAGGTCTAATGGGACAGGAAAGTCAGTGTCCAGCTGGCACTTTACAACCTCAGCAGGTTGTAAAGCTTCTTTATCCATCACCTTCTCATCCTGTTTCAGAACCGGTGTTGGTGAGGTGCCTTCACTTGACTGGACAGGCCTAGAAATAGCCATGGCCTGCTGGGCTTCACCTTCTCTCTCTTCCACAAAGGAGCTGTTTTGGACACCCCGGGTCACCTTGACACAGTGAATGAAGTTGTGGGAAAACACAGGCATGTTCTCTGCCAGTGAGCAGAGGTCTGGGGAGGGGAGAGCATGGTAAGACTCCCCATTCTCACTACCACTGCCCTCCTGAGTGAAAGGCTCATAGGTGAAGTAGATCTGGCAGGGCTCAATCTCAAAGGAGTTGGAAAGGTGGAAGAAGAAGTAGCCTTGGTTTGTGAAGCAGCTGGATAGAGAGTGCCCACTGGTTTCCAAGGGAGGATCAGGAGTCAGGGTTCCCTTGGAAAGTAGAAGCTGGGATTCCTGGTCATTCTTCTGCATCACCTCAAGCGTGGAGATCTCCGGGGTTGTGCTGTTCACACAGTAGGAAGATGTGGAGAATGGAGAGGAGAGCCATTTCTGATGGGGAAGAAACACAGGAGAGAGACTGTTACACCCAAAGTATAACACTCAGTGAGGAACCAAAGGTTTCTTCTCCTGAGAATCACAACAATCAAGCGACGTTTTCTCTGTTCAAGCAAGAGTTGCCGGAGGTGGTGGGGAGGGAAATTCACATTCATGATGTCTTATCTGCAGGATTTTCAGAGAGAATACATCTTTCTGTGACTTTGAAATCAAGATCAGATCTTGCAAGCCTCTGTTTTGAGATTTCACAGAAATCACAGAATAGTCTAGGTTGGAAAAGACCTTGAAGATCATCCACTCCAACCATTTACCTAACATTGAGAGTTCCCAACTACACCGTATCCCTCAGCACTATGTCAGCCTATGACAGCCCGACTCTTAAACACCTCCAGGGATGGGGACTCCACCACCACCCTGGGCAGCCCATTCTAACACCCATCAACCCATTCTGTAAAGAAATGCTTTCTAATATCCAGTCTAAACCTTCCCTGGCACAACTTGAGGCCATTCCCTCTTGTCTTATCACTTGTTACTTGGTTAAAGAGTCTCATCCCCAGCTCTCTGCAACCTCCTTTCAGGTAGCTGTAGAGGATGATAAGATCTCCCCTCAGCCTCCTCTTCTCCAGACTAAACACCCCCAGTTCCCTCGGCCGCTCTTTGTACGACCTGTGCTCCAGACCCTGCACCAGCTCCGTTGCCCTTCTCTGGACACGCTCGAGTCATTCAATGTCCTTTTTGTAGTGAGGGGCCCAAAACTGAACACAGGAATCAAGGAGCAGCCTCACCAGTGCCGAGTACAGGGGTAAGATCCCTTCCCTGTCCCTGCTGGTCACGCTATTGCTGACACAAGTCAGGATGCCATTGGCCTTCTTGGCCACCTGGGCACACTGCCGGCTCCTGTTCAGCCGGCTGTCAATCAGCACCCCCAGGTCACTCTCTGACTGACAGCTCTCCAGCCACTCCTCCCCAAGCCTGTAGCGCTGCTGGGGGTTGTTGTGGCCCAAGTGCAGTCCCCGGCATTTGGCCTTATTGAAACTCTGCAGTTGGCCTCAGCCCATGGCTCCAGCCTGTCCAGGTCTCTCTGCAGAGCCTCCCTACCCTCGAGGGGATCAACACTCCCACCCAACCTGGTGTCATCTGCAAACTGACTGAGGGTGCCCTCGATCCCCTCGTCTAGATCATCAGTAAAGATGTTAAACAGGAGTGGGCCCAAAACTGAGCCCTGGGGGACACCACTCGTGACCAGCCGCCAACTGGATTTAACTCCATTCACCACAACTCTCTGGGCCCGGCCATTCAGACAGTTTTTTACCCAGCAAAGCGTGTGCCCATCCAAGCCATGAGCAGCCAGTTTCGCCAGGAGAATGCTGTGGGAAACGGTGTCAAAGGCCTTACCAAAGTCAAGGTAAACCACATCCACAGCCTTTCCCTCATCCAATAAGCAGGTCACCCTGTCGTAGAAGGAGATCAGGTTTGTCAGGCAGGACCTGCCTTTCATAAATCCATGCTGACTGGGCCTGAGCATCTGGTTGTCCATTATATCAGTTTTAATTTATTTAATTTTTAATTATATTTTTAATGACTTTTTCTAGAGGGGAGGATGGAGGATGAAAGTGAAAGGAAGAAACAAAAATTACAAGACCATGAGATGAAGTGAAGCTGGAAACATGAAAAGCAGTACTGAGATGCATCTCATGCAATCTGTTCCTAGGTGCTGAACCAGTTTCTCATACACCTACATGGCCCTATGTAGATTTCTTGTTTAAAGTGCTCTTCCAGGTGCCTTGTGCCTAGATTTCCACACTCACCATGAGTGACATCCTGCAGTGAATCATTATCCTTAAAAATAAACTGTGTTTAGTAACATGCAATTTCATTGCCTTTATGGCCAGTAAAGCCAAATTTTCTAGCTCTTTCTGCACTGAAAAAGTGTCTTTGGTGCCTGCTGCATACACTTGTCCCACTACTCTGCACTCTTCTCATGTAGTTTAAGCTTTCTAAGGCTTTTTGCACTTAGGCTTTTTAAAGCTTTGCTGTCCTCTGGACCCTCTGCAGTTTGTTTCTGTCATTCTTAAAGTGAGATGCTCCATGAAATCACCTCCCACATCTTGCATCTGACACTTCCTTTAATACTGCACAGAATGATGATTGTCTCTTTGCAGCTGTCCATACTCATGGAGAGATTAGGGGAAGGCAGAAAGTGGGGGTGGAGAAAGAAGGGAAAGAGACAACAAGAATGCAGAAAACAGCTAAGTGCCATCCACCACGATGGCAATTCACATTAGGAGCAGAGGAAAGGCTCATAGCCAGGAGGAGGGGATCACAGTAGGAAATCTGGGGAAGAGCTGAGCAGCCTAGGACAGGCAGGGAGGGACCAAAGTGGTGTGGGAGGGGATCTGAGAGGCCAAGCTCTCTCCTGCAGGTTCCTTGCTTTCTCTCAGGCACCCCGTTAGGGAAGCAGGGTGCTGAGGTTTATGTGGCTTACCGTTTATTGGTTCTGTAATTAGAGATGTCTCTACTGAGTGTCAGGTTTTAGGTCAGAAAATAAAAGTCGAGTGGAGAACCCAGCAGACACATGTATCGTGTGCACATGTAGGTCTGACAACTGGCTATCTGTCCTGGGCATGTGCAGATGGACCCTCCTTTCCCTCATTCCTCCCTCATAACCACATGGCTCTGTTCCCAGACCCATACCTGAATGTCACCTCCATGAACCGAAACGAGTGGGGGAAAGAATTTCTCAGGGTCTGGGATGTTAATCTTCAGGATCTTCTTAAACCTTGAGAAAAGAAAATGAGAAGAAGCAATGAAGCCGGACCTGATCCTGATCAATCTGGCACTGTGGTAGGGGTAGGAGAGAGCATTGCAGCTCATGGGTACTGCCCTGGCATGGGAGAGAGGTAAAATAAGAACAAGCCTGAGGGTTCTCCTTGCTCTTGAGTGGCCTGAAACACAGTAGCTGAGGGATGAGGGGTATAGAGATGAGGCAGTTAAACCTGGCATTGGAAAATACACTGCCTTTTCCCTGTGGAAGCACAACCAAAAGTTCACTGGTTTCCTCCCTGCCTTGGCTGGTCACCTTAACCTCTCCACTTGCTCCCTTAAGACCCTGTCCTGATGAAAAGCTGGGCAGATCTCCCCTGTTTCCAAGCTCCATCTGCTGCTAGCAGCCCCCTCTTTGCTTTGCTGCCACCACAGTGACTCAGAGGACCACATGGCCTGAGCGGGACCATCACTAGCAAAGCTGTGCCACAACTCTCTGCCCTGTTAGCAGTTTACTGCATGGTATAGCTAGAACACACTGGCCGTGCAGATCATGTGAGTATGACTTGCATTAGTCCAGAGGCCTCTATTTTACTGGAACCAGTGTGTTGTCATCCTGAGGCAGACTGAAGTGATCTAATCTACTCCTCAGTCCCTCAGAGAGGTTGGCTGATTCTATCAGCTCTTTGCTGAAGCTTTGCTGTGGGATGCTCTGAAGAAAGACCATCCTGGCCCCTGGAGGCAATCAGTGTACTCTCTGAAGCATCAGAATTTGCTAGTTCTTGAATATAAACCACCTTACATCACTGTAGATGCTATTTTTATTCATGCATGTCTAATCCTTCCTTGGATCTTACCTCAGCATTATCCTCCATCCAGTTCTCCCAGGTTAATTGTACTCTGTGGAGAAAGGAGGCCATTTTATGTCTCTCTGTGCCATATAGCTAGCACTTCCTCACCTTCATGTTATGACTAAAGGTAAAACACAGTGATCAGTGACTTTCTTTATATCCATCTTCCTTCAACATACTTTTCCTTCTTTCCTTACAGAGAAGCCATCCAGCTTCTGCTGCCTCAACCCTGGGAATATTTCTTCCTGCTCCCTGACATGAACATCAGCACCCTGCTTCTTTGCCTCTGTCCTGAGATGAGAAAAACCTATGGCCATTTCTAACCTCATCATGCTGTCAGGTCAGTCTACATATTATTTCATGGGGTAACCTTGTGAGACACTTTATCCTGAATAAAATCACTGTCTAGGTAGAAAAGCTGGCAAAGAGACCATTAAAGCATCATGTAGAGGTTTACCAGCACATAATGAGACACCAGGACTGCACAGATCAAAGAAAGGAAGAATTGTATTCCTCACTCAGGAGTTTTATCTGAAGACCAAATGTCACTATGTCCTGCCTGAGCTCTTGCTGGAGTGTTTAAATGAGAAGGTAGCAGTGCCTAGGCTTGCTTGGTTCTCTCTACTGAGGGACTGCTAAATTCAGTAGCCTGCTTTTTAAGAGACAGTTTTGACGCATCCCTGCAAGGGAGCACCCATCTAATCCCTAGGCAACAGAAACGCTGAGGTGTCTGCTTTTAATTCAGCCAGGTCATGGTATCAGGTCACAGGAGCGCCACACAATGCAGCGATGGTGAAACCACATCATCTTGGGTGGTGATATATTTCCCCAAACAAATGTCAGCCTCAAAATGTTGGGCTATGAACCATATTTTTAAATAACTCTCTATCCTGAGTAACACCAAGTAAAAATAATCCAGATTTTGAGAAGACACACAACATACAGGAGAGGAACAGAGAGGAAATCTTGATTCTCATTTACCATTTCAGGGTCCATAAGTTAATAAGGAAGGCAGTCCCAATGATCACGAAGATGCAACTGCCCACTATAAGATCTGGCATGACTGGCTGGGATGTTTCTGCAAAATGAGAGAGAATGGGGGAGTTGCTGTGGAAATTTAGCCAGGATTCTGGAGGTAGGACCTGCAACCTTTCTATGGCTGTTCAAGGAGCTAAAAGTGGGCCTTTATTATAATTTTACATGGTATTATAAAATTATAGCATACAGGGCCTTTATATCATTTTATATAATAATGTAATATTATACATTATATAGAATTATACAGGTCAGATAAATGAGTTCTACTGTGTTGTGTAGGATGTCTTTGAGCTGATACAGCTTTCAGAGTCTATTTGGCATTGCTTAATAGATAATTTATGCTGAACAGCTTGAAGTCCCTGTTCATATCCCATCAGCACCACAGCTGGGGGTTGCCACAGATGAGGTGCCACAGTCTACTGGTTGAAGTGTCCATCAACCTGTCTGTCTCATTGCAAAGGAAAGCTTAAAATCAGCCTAAGTGGGATTGGAGATTTGAAACAGCATTATGAGATAGTGAGGGAGACAGAGTCATAGGGTTCATAGGTCTTTGAGAAGGCAAGAGGAACAAGGGTGGAGATGGTTAGGTGTCAAGGAACTGGCTTCTTTCTTTGGAGAGGTGTGGGAAAACTCTAGGAGGCTGTGGAAGGTTACAGTTTTCCACCATATTTTAGTACTTGGATTGTAGAATTAGGAGAAAGAAACTGAGTTCCCACAGTTCCAGCACTGCCAGCACTTCTCAGGCTTGTCTGGCATCATCTAAAACTTTTCTTAATCTGCCTCATTCACACACATCTCCCAGTGCACCTTTGCTTGGTCTTGCTATTATATTAGTGCCTGTTTCCTCTGCCTGCCCCCTCATCTCCCTCCATCCCTAGTGTCCCTTGGTCTGGGCCTGCAGAGGATCTCTGGAGTAATTGTGAGATAGTAGTGAAAAATAAAAGAAGTAGGAGACATTTTCAGGACATTCTTTCTTTGCCTGTCCTTGAGATGTTACTCAGATCACTTGGTCTCCTCTGCCTCTGGTATCTGGTTATTGCTGGGTCTTGGTTGCTATGACAACTGGTTTCGGCTGTAACCTATTCACTGATATCACACACTGTCAAAATTTGATCGCCACAGCAACACAGTGCCCTTTCTAAACATAGCTCCTCTGTTTATACCAGCACCAGGCACAACAGGGAGGGGCTAAGCAGGGGCAGAGTGGGGGCGACATGCAAAGGAATAACCTCTATCTGCTTATTTTTCAGAAAAGAAATGACAGAGGCCACAGCCAATGACTCACCAAAGAGACTTGCTCAGGGCACTGTCTTTCAAGGCTGGAGGTCTCCTCCATGCTGTGGTTCACGGCAACAACTGATGCAATTCTCAGCAGACCTTTATGGAAGGGACTTAACATGGTCTGTCTCTTTCATTCTCTGTGAGATTTTGCTTTCTAGTCTCAGGTGTCCTTTGGTTTAGAAGCTGAGCACTCTGTTTCACTGCATTTCACTGGTCAATGAACTGGGCTATTTTAGAAAACTGGCTTTATGTTCCTATGTTACATTAGCACCTGGGAAAATGTCAGTCTTGGCCCCTGCTTCTGAAGGTCAGACATCTGGCCTTACAACTCTGAGGAAGCAATCCCTGATTTACATCTTGTGGATTTTGCCTGTCTTCTGGAAGTCAGAGGGGCTGTGGTGGGGTCAGGGTAGTCTTTTCCCTTAAGCCCTGTTGAGGCAGCCTGACCTAACAGATCAGGACTGACAGATTGTTTCCAACCTTTCTATTGTTCTTTGGTCAACACTATCCTCCCTACACATTTTCCTCCAGCTTCTCAGCCTGCTTTGGTGCTCCTACCTTGTTTTTCCTGAGTCCCCATTTCCCCCTCCAAGTTAGACTGCCTGACTCTGATCCTTACGGTCAGCATGTGTCCTCCACAGTATTGTCTCGCTCCAGTCACTCCACACGCCTTTGTAGGTACTTAAGGCACTTGGCCTTGCACGGACAGCCGCCTCATATTTCAAGTCAGGTGAGAGGCTCTCAAATACCACCCACATCTGGTCCTGCATGATGGTGAAGTTCCTGGCATCCTGGGAGTAGGGAAAAATTAGAGCATCATCAACATCCTGGTTTACAGCCTCACGTGCCCATCTCTTCCACAGCCCTCAGAGAGAACCTGTCGCAGCTCCCTAAACCCTGTGCACTGCTTGGTCACCCTGGAGGAAAATTCTTCTTTGCTTTGCTATTTTATCCCTTTCAGCTCTGTTCTGGAACTGTCTGGATTTCTTTGTGACAACACTGAGTAAAATAGGATTCCCATCTGCCTCCATGTCATCATCAAACACTGGCAACAGGTGACAAGGATAAAAGTGTGTGTGTGTGTGTGTGTGTGTGTGTGTGTGTGTGTGATCTGCTCTCCAGCTTCAACAAAACTAGTTTTGTCCTGAGGGGAGGTCCAGGAGCAAGTCCTAGGTGTTGTAAAGACCAGGATTCATATGGTGACAGGTCCTAGTACCCACCTCTGTACTCACCTTCCAGGACTGACTCATTGTTCTGTACCGCACTTGGTATTCCCGCTCCCCATCCAAATAGTGAGAGGAAATATTCAGGCTCCATGTTAAGTTGTAGGTGTTTTTAGTTTTGCTAACCAGCTGAAGATTTCCTGGAGGCCTCAGCTTTACTGGAAAGAGAGAAGGAGCAGGGCACTCTCTATCCATAACAGAATTTCACCGCAAAGCTCACTGCAGCAGGGTTGGTGTCTTGGCTGTGCTCACGGACTCCAGCCAGCCACAGCTGCATGAGACTGTTAGTGAGTTCCCCCTCTCTCCTTCTCCTTCTTCCCCACTGTCACTGATGGCAAAAGGTCTGTTATCTTTGGACTGTGTTAGTTAGAGCCAGCTCCTCCTGTGAGTCTGTGAGAGTGGCCCCTGCAGTCAATGCAATCATTTCCCCACCATGACCATGCCTACTATCTTGTAGGGATGATCCATAAGGCAATTGTATGGACAGAGATCTACAGCTGCAGAGGATGGAGTTACATAGACTGTCTGGGCTGATCCTTCCCAATCCCTGACTCCAGCCATGCCTTCTTATGCCTCACCTTGCAGCAGCTCGATTGGACTCCTTTGTCTCCTTGAGCCAGCTAAACTCATACATCTGGCAAAAATAATTACACAAGCAGATCTTTTTCTCCTGGATTAGTGAGTTGAATCCTTTCAGCAAAGACTGATGGATGCAAAGACTGGCTTAAAGTAGGGTGGAAGCACATATCTGGTAGGAGGGGCAGAGGAAGAGCAAGACTTTCCCTCCTTCTTGCAGCATGAATTTTTCAGGAGGTCAGCTGAGTTGTCATTGCCTGTTTGAAGCCAGAACTCCTAGTGCAAAGCACTGTCATTTAACAGTGTCCTGGATCCAGGACAGGACAGGAAGTGGCTGGCATGACACTGCATGTTAGAGGTTGACATAGCACTTATGGATATGGTGTAGCTGGGAACTGTCAGTGTGAGGTTAATGGTTGGACCGGATGATCTTCAAGGTCTTTTCCAACCTTGATGATTCTGAGATTCTGAGATTCTGAGACAAGCCATTCACCATCCTGCCCAGACCACTGAACTTATCATTGTTTCATTTTTGTGCTTCTAAATAATACGAAAGAATGGGGGGTTTTGTTGTTATTCAAAAGAAGAAGGCTATTTCAGGAAACCTGAGGAAGGCAAAACAATTACTTAGGCACAAGTGGCAGGAGTCAGTGTGGTTCATCTGTGCTAGTTGTAACAGGGGACAATGAAAAGACAAGTCTAAAATCAGCTATAGTTTTGCATAGGGGTGGATGGGGAAGATAAATTAGCTATGGGGAAGCTTCAGATTCTGCAAGACAGTTGAATACTCACTATTTGCAAGTGGACTGAAATCTTCTATTCGCACAGGTATAGACCTATTCTCCCCAATCTGGCAACGGACAGACATGGTAAGACGATCTGCAGTGGTGAAGCATTGAGTCTGCAAGGAAAGTTTACCATTAGTGACACTGAAACCTCATCAATAAGCCTATGTGTAACAGGTTTAGGAATACTTGAAAATAAATATGGACAATATTTGTGGCTGAAAAGCATAAGCCTCACTGGTGAGTGAGGAACCAAAGATTTAAACCTCATGTGACCAGATTTTTTTGTTCATTGGTGAGAAGGGCACAAAATATTGTGATATGCTAGTTTGGTAGGATTGCAGTATGTACTGACTAAACAGGAAAAAAATTACTTTCTATGAGTGACTTTTATTGAGAAAAATATTTTTACTAAAACATTTTGTGTTCATTGGTAAGATTGAGATGACATCAATATTAAATTTTGCTCTTGAAATGCAATGATACTAAAGGGTCACAGAAGTCATGTAGTATTAAATAAGCAATAGGGAAATTATCTTGATTAGAAAGAAAATATTTTGGAGCTGTTTACCAACCCTGAAATTTGTCTTTGCACATGATGCGCCAATGTAAGAAAACTTGTCTGTTGTTAGGACTGGTTGTGACTTTATCAATAAGGGGAATTAGCTCATATTTGGGTGGGTTTTTTTCTGAAAACACAAGGACTACAGTAACTCTGGATATGACTGAAGGAAGTATGTAATGAGTCTAAGAAAGACTGATTTAAATAAAAAATAATAGCTAGAGGATTTGCATCACCATTAGCTCCAGAGATGTGTTGCTGTTACATCTTGCATTTTGACACATCTAACCAGACTTCACAATAGTTAATGATCTGGAAAATGGTACTGACCTCTTCAAGGAAAATAAGGTCAAGAGGTGACCTCAGAGCTGGGGGTGATATCTATTCCTCCTCAGAGGAGGGGATTAGGGCCAAATCCAGGTAACTGAGACATGGAACACTGCATGTGATCTGTCTGTCCTGCACCTCTTTTGCATGTGTCAGAACAGCATGGCCCAGCTCACAATAAAGCCAGTCCCCCCTGCAGGGGAACCAACAGGCGTGATGCATATCAACAACACACAACATCAAGCCCAACTCCAGAATTGTAGTCATGGATTAGGTTTAGGCTTTCCATACTGCTCCTGGGGGTCACACTATTTATACCCTCAAAATCCACATACAAATCCTTTCCACCTTGCCATTAGCCAGGACATCCCAGATGAATTACTTACATTACTGTTTTTGCTGAAGGTCTTGATGCATCTCCTCAGTCCTGTCATGTGTTCTGCCTTGGGTAATTCACAGTGCTCAGGTAAAGGAACTAACCTGGGTTTTAAGCAGAACTCCAGTGAGCTGGGGAGGCTCTTTTGCATTAAACTTTATGTAACACTAAAGGTCTTTCAAAGCATTTTGCATCCTACCATATTTGCTCAACAGGCTACAACAAGGATGTAATCGCACTTTCTCTCTCCACTGCATCATTCAGACAAATTTTGTTATTTCAAGCCAAAGATAACAGTAGGTTTCCAGTTTCCAAGTCTTCACAAACCCCTCTTGCTACTTTCTCTGCTTTCTGTCAATATCAGAGGGCATGCAGAGCTCAAACACATCTGCTGCCCACAACTGCACTAACGTGGCCCTGGAACACAGGTTCCTACTTCATCTCCTCTATGGTTTACAGGCCTCCTTCAAGTAGGAGACCTGAGCCCTGTAGGATCTCAGGTACTGAGTGAGACGTATCTTCTGAACCAGGTCACATCCCAGTCAACCAGGACTGTATGTCACACTTGGCAGCACTACACCGTGACCTCTATTCTGCTCTGATAAGTGTGGCTGGACAGCCTAAGCTGAGCTATGGCAAGGGGGCAACAGGGTAGGAGAGCATCCATGTGCTTTCAGCTGAGAGGGTAGACTGAGCTGCCTGCTCCAGGTCAGATCAAGTCTGATGGTAAGGAGAGGTGGTGTCCTAGAGAGCCCTACTCAAGCAATGACACAGTTCCAAATCCAGCCCAAATTCCAGCCCTAGTCTCTGATTTGCACCTATGGAGCAACATAAATGTTTTGGCTTTCTAGGTCCATGCACCACATCCCACAATATATTTGCCCATCTCACCTCGTTAGAGGTGTCTCTATGACAGTCACAAGCAACCCACCCACTGCAAGAATCACACTGAGCCACTCCTTATGACACGCACCCAGGGAAGCCCTTGGGGGAGGCTCCAGTTGTCATGCTTGGAGACCACAGAGACTCATCCAGCCCCCAGTGCAGTACTGGCCACACACCCACCCCTCTGTGGGAGAGGAAAACATCATAAATTGAGAGAGATGAAAGGGCTAGGGGAGATAAGTGGAGCAATATTTTCCTTCATTTATTGTTACTCAGGGTGCAACATCCCAGCTCATCCTGGCAATGGTCAAATGGCCTTTGCATAACCTTAATTCTGCTCTCCTCCACCCCCATCTCTATACATTGTCCTTCCACTGAAATACCTTTCAGTCCAGAGGACGGCTTCAAAGGAAGAGGGATGTTTTTGAAAATGAAGCACAGACAGAGCTATGGAGCTGGAAAATGGGCTGTGCTAGACAGTTTGGTACTACCAAACACTGAGCAATAGCCTGCATCTCAGCCCACATGGGGTTAGTGACAGAGTTCAAAACAAAGCCCCTCAGCTCTGTGATTCCACTACAGCTGGCCTGGGGAGGGGGAGCCTACATTTTTGTTAAGCAGTAAACTTTCCAGGACAATTTTCATTCAAAGCATCTCTCTAGTCACTCACCTGTCACAAAAAGCTAACTTTGATAAAATCTCCAGCTGGCATGGTGCTTCAACCAAGTCCCTGCCTGGGTTCCAGTCACAGAAGAGAGCTGCCCGCGAGTCGTACCAACAAGTTAGGCTGGAGGTGCCTGCCATCAAAGAAGAGATGGACAACAATGTGGCTGAATTAGCAATGATGTTTGGCATTAACCATCACCCTGGACAATTCTGCCCCATCCCAAGTTACAGCCTGACTCCTCTGCTGGATAACTCTCTCCAAGTAAGAAAGGCAGAGCCACTCACTTTTCTATGTCCTTGGAGGCTGATGTACTCATAAGAGACCTGTAACTATTGCAACCTCCTCTGACTGTATGTTACAACATGAGCATTGCAGAGCAACACACTGTGGCAGACCCCCCACTCCAGCTGACCACCCTCCCTGCTCGCCCAGCTGGCATGGGTGAAGCACATCACTTCTTACCTTGTGCTGAATCTGATGGCCACAAGAGAAACGTGAGGCTGAACAGCCAGAGGGGACACAGAAGCAGCAAAGAGGGCTTCATCTGTACTGGTGACACACTGAAAGAGAGAGGATGCCCCCCCCAGCATAGCTCAGCAATTCAAATTAGGAAGATGTCATCTCACAGGAGGTATACACTGTCTTAGGGCAAGGCTCAAAGCCAGTGCCGTTCTTCCAGGTTCAGAAACTCATACCCCTTCTACTCCAGAGTCTGTGCTTTTCCCTCAGCACCTCACTGTTTTCCTGCCTTGGGTCCTTTGCTCAGCACTGAAACTGTTCACAGTGCAGCACAGATAGGCTGTTTGCAGGAGTAATGCCTTCTGGAAATGTGTGTGAGAGTGCACAACAGTCCGCATGTGTTGTTTCAGGCTGCTTGCTGACTCAGGTAGAGAGTGCTGCCTTGGTTGCACACAGCTTGTGCTTTGAAGAGCTTCTTTTTTTTGTAAGCTCTAGGGCTGAAATAACTAAGTGCTTACTGAGTAAGAGGGGTCTGTAGCTGCAACTGACAAAAGCTAGTTGCAGAGCTCATTGCTTAGGAGGCAGATTTTGAATGCCTTGTTTGGGACAGGGTGGGAAATCAGGGAGAAGTTGTTTACCAGGTTCTGGAAAATCAAGGCTTTACCATATCATAAAATATTACATAGTCATGCACAAACCATGCACTATCCTTGCCAAGTAGACCCTGCACTGCCTTGGAAGGAGTTGTGCTTTTTTGGTGTAGTGGAAAATTTGGGCTTTGTAATTAGGAAACTCTGCAGCACCCCTCATCCACCCATGGCACCCAGGGAGACTTCTTGTCTTACAAAGCCTGTACAGTCATGCTCCATATTAGACAGACTGGGTTTACAGGCTGCTCATCCAAGCCTCCTCCTCTCCTCATCTATCTGGACATCTGTGCCTTGAGGTCTGCCTCTGCCCACAGGAGAAGCAACCACCCTTACCTCTCAGCAAGCCTGCAGCTCAGGCAGAGCTGAGTAAAACAAGACAAGAGTCCTGCTAGACCCTGCTAGGACTGCCTGGGGAAAGAGGAGAGGGTTTATAAAGGACTGACATGAGGCATAATACCGATTCCCATTGTGATAAAAGATTAGGTTCAGATGAAGAAAAACATGACGACAATGCATTAACAGACAAATGGAAGAGAAAGAGAGAAAAAGAAAACAGGCGGAGTTGTTGTGAGATGTGGGTTATGATTTGAGAGGACTGTGGAGAGACAGAGAGATAAATATGCGCTCAGACCGCCCCAACGGCAAGATTCAGTTTGTCAGACTGAAACTCCTTCCAAGACACTTTTCAGATCAGCCACCCCCGTGTGGGAGAGAGCTGGCATTGCCCCCTTTACCTTCCAGCTCCAGGCAACCAGTGGTGCAGATGAAGGGAGTCTCCAAGGACCAGGGACCAGGTCGTAGGGTTGGATGGAAGCAGGTGCTGGACTGAAGCAGGTGCTGAACGACAAACAGTAAGGGGAATGGGGAGAGGGGAAGGGAGAGGGATGGAGGAGGATATATCCTAGCTCAGTGCATGTCCAGGTGTCAGTCAGTGCTGCTGGCATGAGAGAAGAGGTGTCTCTGCACTTCTGCTGCAGAGCTGTTCCTCTTGAACGTGCGTGGTCTCTCTCTGTCTTCTCCCTCTCACCTTTGCACAGGAAGCTGCTGCTTGCTTGCCTTGTCAGACTGAGACGAGGCCCCAAAGTATCGAAAAGGCTAGCGAGGCCGAGAATAAAAAGCCCCAAACCACGTCCTACTTCCTGCTGGTAAAGCAATAGGTGCAGAAACAAGGGTGGAGGGATCAGGTGTTAGCTTATAGTGCTCAGATATACTGGGACCAGTTTGTAGCTGTTGCTGGGTAGCAAAAGAGCGAGAAGGACCTGTCCTCTTGGGACACTGGCAAGAGACCCATAGCTTCCTCTTTCAGACACCCAAACAGATCATTCATATCACTCTTGGGGTCTGGACATGTGCAAGGATCACTTTGAAACTGGGGATAGGCATCAATCTACAGTAGAAATACCGTAGACTACTTTGTGAAAAATACTGCGAGGTGTTGACCTAAGCAACACCAGAATGAAACCAGCCTCTACATCAATGCCCCAGTTTCAGAGGACCCATCCTGGGTCAGAGCAGGAGTGGAATGAGGGCAGTGCTGAGTGTGAGCAAGCTTGAGGCACAACCCTCACACTTGCAGATGGTGTGACACCACAGGAACAACACCCATCCCATGGCCTCCCTACCCAGCTGAGCACCCCAGTTTCTTCAGAGACAACAGAATCACCCGCTTTGATCTGAGCCTCGCAGCTAGTCTAGACAGGCAACACCACCCCACAGTAGCTGCAGTGCCTGTTTGGTACGGCTTGTCCATTCAACAGATCAGACAGGGATGCAAAAATATGTCCACCTTCTTCTAAAGCTTTATGTGCCCTCACTTTCACAGACAGATAACCCCTCACAGGCTCTGCAGGGCTTGTTTAATTTTAGAAGATCCTTTCACCATCGGATATGCCTTCCCCAGCACACTTTGCCTTCACATTCCAAGACAAGACAGATGTGCAAACACAAATCCACAGCCCAATGGTTGTCCAGTTCACAGATAGGCATGCACATGCATGTGTCCCTGCACACCTCTCATTTTCCATACACAAATACAGTTCTCTGAAGTGCAGCACATCACGTTTCCTGTCTGGTCTGTACAGAGATGACCACTGGTGTGGGGCTAGATGACAAGAATATCCTTTTACACACAGAGTGGTCACTGCACTATGTGCTCCTCACCTTTCTCTCTTAGAGCAGATCAAGGCCCATGCTCAGACCTGGCAAGCAGATTTTGCTGACCAAAAGTTCACAGAGGTTAATGTCAAGTCTCCAGACTGTTCATTTTTGAGGACTATAAACATGGAGGATGGGGTCTCCTTTAACAACAAAGGGATCTTGGTTTCAGGTAGTGGAAAAAGGCTGTGGGAGAAGGAGGAATTTTTAGTCACAGGCAACCCAATCCAGAGACTGGGTATCAGAAGATATTAGACATCAAAAAGAAATAGTTTTGGAGCAAAATAGTGATTTGAAGTCATGGGTGAAGCCATTCTGAAGGAGGTTGCAATAGTGGATCCTCATGGGCATTTCTGGGAGACCACTGCCGTTAATCCAGCTTCAAGCAGTCAGTCAGTGGCCTGGAGTGCTGCACCTCTTTCCTCACCACGACATGGACCAGGAGTCTGAGAGGTGTCTACTGGATGCTCTTGCTAGTCATCTGAAGACTCTTGTTATAGTCACCCTTTGTGAAGGCAGCTGGGGAATCTGACCAGCCTGTCTCCGTTGAAGAGCAGCAGGGAAGAGGCTGTGTGCTCTCGTGCTCTGCTACCACTGACTGTGGTAGCTGTGCCTTGGAGTCTCCCACTAGAGTGGAGCTGTAATGGCATGTATCATCAGGGCATGTATCCCAGGAACTCTTAAAATGAATGCAGCTTACTCTGCCACAGAAGTCCCCAGCTGAAGCAGTGAAGTGCTCTGTAAGTAACTTTGTGGTATCACCAGTTCTGCAGCTGCAATGGAGTAGTCATGTTAACCATCATTTTTCCCCTTTGTCCTTCAGAATGAGAAATTCGTATCTTCTGTCAAACCGTATCTTCTGGAAAAGCAAGAGCACAAAGCACCCCTTTTTTTTTTTTTTTTT